AGAATGCGCTAATCTACGAGGGTGGTCCCAGAAAAACCCGACCCAATGAAGAAAAAACAAAAATTTTGTAACAAAAATGTATTTATTTTTCAACATAATCTCGTTTGAGCTCTATACACTTTTCCCAGCGATGTTCAATAAGTTCGATACCCTTTTTATAATAAGAACTGCCTTGCTTCTCAAAATAGCCATTAACTGCCGACATCACTTCTTCATCGTTGGAAAATCTTTGACCACTGAGCCATTTTTTCAAGTTTGGAAACAGAAAATAATCCGAGGGGGCTAAATCTGGTGAATAGGGTGCATGAGGTAACAATTCAAGCTTTAATTCGTTAATTTTGGCCATTGCAATAACGCTGGTGCATCTTGATGAAACAACACTTTCTTCATAACCAAATGCTGAAGTTTTTGCTTGATTTCATCGCTCAAACGTTACAATAAGTTCGCATAATACTCGCCGTTGATAGTTTTACCTTTTTCAAGATAGTTAATGAAAATAATCCCACGCGCATCCCAAAAAACCGACGCCATAACCTTGTCTGCAGACGAAATGGTCTTTTTTGGAGCCGATTGTCCCTTTTGAGTCCATTGTTTTGATTGTTCTTTTGTCTCGGGTGTGAAGTGATGGATCCATGTTTCAATTCAATTCAATTCAATTCAATTCAATTCAATTCAATGGACTTTATTGTAACACATACATAATTATGTATCCTTACAAATGGCAAAGTCTGGCCAATGGCCATTTATACTTAACCATAAATGTCAATGCTTATTACTACCTTCAAAATAAAATAAAAAAAAAAACTGAAAAAGAAAAGGAAAAAGAAGAATAATAGTAAAAGAAGAATTAATAAATATGACATAATGCGTACGATTAGAACAAAAAACATAATACGTACGATTCAAAGAGAGGACAATAACCGAAGAGCTCAATAAGTAGTTTTTATATTTTTTTTTTAGAAAAGTTGCTGATGAAACATTGTTCGAAAGAGTTGATCAATTTCACCGCATTATACGTAAAAGACCGTTGAAAAATGGCTGTCCTATGTTGTGGCATTGTCAGGAGACTAATGTTGCGCGTATTCAAATTGTGAATTAAATTCCTACGAACAAGCTTTTGCATAAGATAAACGGGAACAGAAGTTTTTAATATTTTTACGACAAATGTAACAAAGTTGTATTTGAAAAGATCAGAAATTTTCAACCAATTCATTGAAGATATTGAGTGAGAAACATGATCGTACCTTCTTAAATTGTTTATGTAACGACTACATGAGTTTTGAATTTTTTGCAGTCTGTATTTTGTGATTTCATCCAGACAGGGATAACAAACTATGTTGCAGTAAGCGATTTTACTGAGTATGAGTGACTCGCATAACATTTTCTTAATTTTTCTATTTAAAACAGTTTTACTTGCATATAGAAGCCTGAGTCTAAAATAACTAGACTTACACACATAGCCAACATGCTCCTGAAATCTGAAATCTTCATCCAAGTACAAACCTAAATTTTTTGCAGAATGGGAAAATATTAGGATACTATTATTTATTGATAAATTTAACTTTGATTTGAGGAAAGTACGTTTTTTCTTGGAGCAAAAAAGTATAGCTGTCGATTTCGATGCGTTTAGACGTAAATTATGTTTTTCAGCATATGTGCATAAGTATTGCAGATCTTGATTGATAAGGTTGTTAGCTAAATGGTAGTTGTTCGGACAGAAATTATGAAAAACCTGCATATCATCAGCATATGATTGACTAGAACAATGTTGAAGGGTGTTGGAAATGTCAAAGGTGTATATAAGGAATAAAAGTGGACCTAATATGGATCCCTGAGGCACGCCGGAACAAATCGGCCTTTTGTCTGAAAGTTTATTTTGTATGACGACATATTGATGTCGTTCATTTAAATAGCAATCTATCCATTCCAGAACCAAGTCGTCACACCCAATGTATTTACATTTAGAAACTAACAGCTTATGATTCCGGGTGTCAAAAGCCTTGCTGAAATCCAATAAGACTAATGCAGTTGCTTCTTGCCTATCCGCCGCTGTTAGTACATCGTCACAAACCCGTGCCAAAGCGGTAGTGGTACTGTGACCCTTTCTAAAGCCTGATTGATTTAATGACAAAATGCTGCGTTCGAGTAAATACTCATTCAACTGCATATAGACTATTTTTTCTAGAATTTTTGATAGAGCTGACAGCAAGCTAATAGGTCGGAGATCACCAGGAACCTGGGGATTGGGAATCTTTGGAAGAGGTTGCACTAATGTTTCCTTCCAAGCACTTGGAAAAACACCGCGCTCTAAACAACAATTTATTAAGTGCAAAATGTATATTCCTACAGCAGGTAGACACAATTTAATCATCTCAATGGTAATGCCATCAATACCACTAGAATTGGACTTGATACTGCGAATAGCATCCAATACTGTAGATATATCGACAAGACGGAACTGAAAATGAAAATCTTGGTTTAATTTGTTATGGCTATAAAATTCGATAGTTTCCGAGCAATCATCGTCACTTTTCTGGAATATACTGGTAAAATAGTTATTTATTTCATTGGGAACTGCTAAGTCATCCGGAATGTCAGTATTACTAGAATCCTGAATTCTAAATGACTTAAGAGCTTTATAAAGAGCTGCAGAGTTTCTTTGTCGAGATAGATGTTGAAGGTAGCCTGATTTCTCTGCACGTGTAGCAGTTTTGGTAAAATTTCTCAGTTCATTGTAATGATTTCGATTCGCATCCGTTCGAGACCGTCTATATTTATGAAAAGCCTTATCTCGTTCTTTCATTATCATTTTCAAATTGTTTGTGAGCCATGGTGCACGAGGCTTAGACACTCTCACTGTTTTTAGTGGTGCATGTATGTCAAAAAGTCCTACAATGTTATCGGAAATAAATTTTACTTTCTCATCGATATTAGCCATATAAATAACTTCAGCCCAATTAACGCTAAATAAGTCATCGTCAAAAGAGGTTAGATCAAAATTGCGATAGTCTCTAAATGTAATTAGTCTAGGTGGTGGTTTATTATTTTTACACGAAATGTGACAGAATACAGCCTGATGATCACTAAAGTTAACAGTGAAAGTTCCCACTTTGGAACATCTTTGTGCACAGTTGAAGAAAACCGGATCTAAAAGCGTTGAAGAATGATCAATTATTCGAGTTGGTTCATTCAATAACTGGTGCAGGCTATAAGATTGAAAGCACTGATTAATCTTATTATCAATAAAGAAATTAACGTTGAGGTCACCAAGTACCAAGATGCATTCATTCGACGGTGCTAAGATGGACAACGTATTATCTAATATGCTTACTGCAACATCCAAACTTCCCCGAGGCGGTCTATAAATAACACCAACTACAATACATTTACGGCCAATACGAACCTTGAGCCAAAGCATTTCTAGAGAAGTACGATCATATTCCTCAAACGATAGAATTTCTGATGAAAAACGATTTTTGACATAACAGCCAACCCCACCTCCGCGACTACCACGATCACGACGATAGAAGTTATAACCAGAAATATCTACTGAATTTGTTGGAATATCTGAAGACAGCCATGTTTCTGTAACAGCCACTACATCGAGATCCATATCATTAACCATGAAAGAAAGGTCCGCCATTGAAGGAAGAATTGATCTGGTATTAGAGTGAACAAATTTAATAATGTCAGCCATAGTTAATTCTACTTCTCAAATTATCAAAATGGCTTTTAAAAACAGTACAACAGCTAGAGTAAGACGCGTGATCAGTTGGTAGACCTTTCTTGTGTTTCATCCATGGTTATGAAACGACGCAAAAATTCTGCTTTGTTGCTGTGAAAATTCGCTAAACACTCAATTGAAACATCTTCACGACACTGTATTTGCTCGATTGTGAGCAATCGCGGCACCCGTCTTGCACACAGCTTTATTTTGTCCAAATTTTCAGATAATATTCGATGAACCGCACTTTTTGAAATGCCTACTATGTCTGCTAGCTCGCGCACTCTCAGTCGACGATCATTCAGTAACGCTTTGTGAATTTTCTTCACCATTTCTGGAGTCGTGATCTCATTTGGTCGACCACTGCGATGCTTGTCTTGGCAGCTCATACGGCCTCGTTTAAACTCTGCTACCCAATATTTTACTGTTGTAAACGAAGGAGCAGACTCACCCTGAGTAGAATCCAGTTCAGCTTTTATATTGGTTGGGCTGAGGCCTTTGAAATAAAACTATTGTACCACATAACGATGACCAATTTTCTCCATTTTCACAAATTCACTGAAAACGTTCAGTATTGATGGCTGCCAAACAAATACTAAACAACGTGGCGTCTTCAAACTTGACACATATGCTTTATAGGTTGCATACTGTCTAATACAATGATATTTTTCAAACAACTATCGCCATCTCTAGGTCAGACTGGGTACTTCTGGGACCACCCTCGTATATAATTTGGTGTTGGTGGTACTTAAAAGCAATTTTTTAAGAGTTTTTGGACGGGGCAACATTTTTATGGTTTCTTTTAGGCAGAAAAGCTTGAAAGTATTGCCATTTCAATCCCGTTTTTGAGGTAACTGACTCGGAAGTTGATAAAGTCGAGGTTTCCGTCGTATTGATGTTCTCCTACATTGTTTCATTTTGCAAACGAAAACAACCATAGGAATGTTTGAGAGACTATAGTCATTGTAACACATTTGCCCATAGTTTTCAGTAATATTTTAGGAATTCGAATATCTGATACTTTTTTATACACGCGATAGCTCATTGCTTCTTTCCCTAGAGGTAATAAAACAACAGAGGGCTGAATATGCGAGTACACCATACTTATCTATAAATACATCCTGCATCCCTAGATAACACAACTTATTGTTTTCTACCAGAATAATCTAAAAAGGATATATTTTTCATCGTGCAAGAATTTCACACTGTTCACAGGCGCATATTTTGACACGATAAAAGTTTTTTCCGCCTTTATCTCACAACTTCCGTTTGATATGCCTCTCTTGCTGGCGCGCTATTGCCAAAGTCAAATGCTTCAGTTATAAACAAGAATCGGAAACGTGTAAAGTGTAGGTAGTTACAGTTTAAACATGAAAAGCTCTTTTTTGTGCGTGTTGGTGATTGTAACCCTTTTTGAGAGTTATGTGTTGTCGTATATTCCAAGTAAGTGTATTCCATCTATTTGACATATTGTACATCACGAAAAATCATGTCTTATTTCCGTCGTCAATGAAATTTTTAAGCAATGGTACTACTATGCCAATGATGCAAAAGCTCTGTAGTTTTTGAAAATCGGTACAGTGGCGGCAGAGAAGAAGACAAAAAAAGATGAAAATCGTTCGAATTTCATTTTTTAACGTTTCAGACGATCCTGATCATTTTCGGAAAAAAATATTTGTAGTTGTTAAAAATTGACGGTTAGGGATTGCAGGGAGAGGCTGTATCTCAATTTTTTATATTTATATGCCTCCGACCCCAGTAATTATATGCATATATTACGCATATTTCACTCATCGTAGATGTTTACGTACATTTACCCTTAAAACTTCCCGATGGTAAAGATTCGTCGTCGGTGGTCGTACATCATGGTAGGTAATCGCTTCCACACTGCTGTGGCTGTGTGCACTGTGCATGGTGAAGGCTAATATCGTCATTCACGCGGCATTGGTCATGGCAACGATCACGTGCGCCTGCAGCAATTCCTCTCAGGGGAAGGAGGAAGGTCATTTAATTTTTTGTCATTCATGTTCGTAGATAACTTTTTTCTCATAAGGGCTAACTTGTGCAAAACACAATCCTTTACGAACTGATGAAAGTGTAGCGAGGAAAGTACATAGTCAACTTACTTTACGCCATTTTTTGTGTTGTGCTATTGTCTTATAAATATGCTCTAGCGCTTGTATATTTCATATCCCTTTTTGGATGCTGGAATACACTACGAGGGTGGTCCCAGAAGTACCTGGCCTGACCTAGAGATGGCGATAGTTGTTTGAAAAATATCATTGTATTAGAAAGTATGCTACCTATAAAGCATATGTGTCAAGTTTGAAGACGCCACGTTGTTTAGTATTTGTTTGGCAGCCACCAATACTGAACGTTTTCAGTGAATTTGTGGAAATGGAGAAAATTGGTCATCGTTATGTGGTATAATACTTTTATTTCAAAGGCCTCAGCCCAACCAATATAAAAGCTGAACTGGATTCTACTCTGGGTGAGTCTGCTCCTTCGTTTACAAGAGTAAAATATTGGGTAGCAGAGTTTAAACGAGGCCGTATGACCTGCAAAGACGAGCATCGCAGTGGTCGACCAAATGAGGTGACGACTCCAGAAATGCTGAAGAAAATTCACAAAGCGGTACTGAATGATCGTCGATTGAAAGTGCGCGATCTAGCAGACATAGTAGGCATTTAAAAAGTGCGGTTCATCACATATTATCTGAAAATTTGGACTTGAGAAAACTGTGTGCAAGATGGGTGCCGCGATTGCTCACAATCAGCAAAAACAGTGCCGTGAAGATGTTTCAATTGAGTGTTTGTGATGCGCGTGGGATAATTTTCATTGACTATCTTGAAAAAGGTAAAACTATCAACGGCGAGTATTATGCGAACTTATTGAAACGTTTGAGCGATGAAATCAAGCAAAAACAGCCGCATGTTGTTAAGAAGAAAGTATTGTTTCATCAAGACAATACCCCAGCTCACAAATCCGTTATTGCAATGGGCAAAATTGACGAATTAAAGTTTGAATTGCTACCTCATGCACCCTATTCACCAGATTTAGGCCAGTCGGATTATTTTCTGTTTCCAAACTTGAAAAAATGGCTCAGTGGTCAAAGATTTTCCAACGATGAAGAAGTGATGTCGCAGTTAATAGCTATTTTGAGGAGCAAGACAGTTCTTATTATAGAAAGGGTATCTAACTTATTGAACATTGCTGGGAGAAGTATATAGAGCTCAAAGGAGATTATGTTGAAAACTAAATACATTTTTTTACAAAAATTTTGTGTTTTCTTCGTTGGGTCGGGTACTTCTGGGACCACCCTCGTATATGGCTGGAGAAATGCGTTAATTAACGGCATTCAAATATGACACTAATATTTCATTGTAATTTCAGCATGTCAGAATATCGCAATAAGAAATGGAAAAGTCAGACGGCGGCAGAGAGGCAGAATCATAAAATTCATATGCAACACAGGATACCTATTGGCAGGAGAGAGACATAGCGCATGTGTACGCGGTGAATGGAATCCTCCAGCACCAAAATGTGTTCGTAAGTACTGTAGCGTTTTTCTGGGTTCTTTTGGGTGTGGATTAAAACACTATATTCCACAAAAAGAAATGCACAAGCTTGCTTTTGTGGGTTTCCTGTTTGTTTACTATACTAAACTGTGTACGCGTATATTCAGCTTACAATATTATCGTTATTTAACTTGACAGAACATTTATATACACCACTATTTATGTCTGACTAATCCTTATGTAGCCATTGACTGCAGTATACTCCACTCTGCTCTGCTCTGGTGTAATGTGTACTCTCTCCGAGTTATATATAGTCCCAATTGCTGCTTCGAGAAAGGCCGGGTGAACCACAAAGCGACATCTAGAATATTTGAGGTCACTACGCGTCAATGTAGAAGGCGATCCACTGTCACGGTTCTCACAGTCACCGCCAAGCGGCTTGTGCGGTCGTGGTTCGCGTAAAAGCAGAGATCGGCCATTATGATCTGACGAGTAGGAGACTCGCCCAACAGATAGCGCCAACAGAACTATTTGTGACAGTACTTTGCAGAGAAGTATAGAGTTCAACAGGCATTTTGCCACAATAGCCGTGTTTTTACTAGTACCGTATGGGGCTCGGCTTGAAGAAACCGTTCATACGCTGATAAAATGTTGAAGACATTCCAAACCGTACTTTTTTGTAAAGGCTTTTTTTTCTCATATCAGGATCCGAACAATATGAACATGTTTACTTAATATTCAGCGATTTTTCTGTGTTCGTTCCATTTGTTTCATTGCATTATCATGCCTAGAGCTCGCAGACGCCCTAATTTCAATAAACTTTCCGAGTTTGAGAGGAGTCGGATAATCGGCTTACGTGAAGCCGGATTTTCTTTTAGCGAAATCGCTATTTGTGTATAGTTCAATAAATTTCGATTTGATATAAAAATGGAATTTCTGCAGGACCAACTTGTAACAATAAGGTGCAGCCGCCAAGTAATGGATCCATTTACCCTACACACAGTGGAGCTGCCCTTCATTTCTTCTGTAAAGCTGGATTCACTCTGAAAGGACCAAGCCACGTGTATTGTGATGGAAGGGCATGGGACAACAACTCTCCTATTTGTTTATGTAAGTTTATTTCATACGAAAAAGTAACAGGTACATTTTTTAAAAAATAAAAACAAACCAACCGGCATGGGTATCATGTAAAAAACCTATAAAATGTCAAAAAAACCTATAAGATGTCATCTTGCAAACTAGGTAGTTTTTAGGGCGCAAACAGTCATTCCACGTTCACTCACTAGGGTCGTTGTGAACGTCCATCTAAGCAGGAATCACTCAACTAAACTACACGCATTATTGGTTGCATATGTTTTGTGAGGCCAAATGGTCATTGTCTGTAGTTTTTATCTCTGAGAAGAAAGTTGGTTGAATAGCAAGATCGCATCTGGATGATTATGTGTATTGGTCTGCATGTGTATTAAATCAGTGATATTTGCTGTGTGAGAAAATCATTACTGAATATGCCGCCAATGAAGTATATCTATTGGCTGTGCCCTACGGGTTATTTTTATGTTGTGCTTTCTGAAGAGAGGTTATGTTCAAAGTGATAAATTATGAAAAACTGAGGAGAATTACGGGAAATCATCACCGCGCCCGCGTTGTGTGTAATTACTGTTAGCATGTACTTATATGACTTGTAATTCGACAGTGTACATAATTATTTATCTCTCTTATTTTTGAAATTCAGCAAATTTGTATATGTAATTTCCAGAATGGATAAGAAAAAGTAGATGCGTAACTAATTTCTAACTTTGAATCTCAATTGAGTGTATTTGAGACAAGAACCCAATGTAATTATCATCAACACATACAACTTAGACCTCCAGTAATGCCATCTCAGAAGCAGATTTTACATCACATCACAGCCAAAGATTGATAACAAGCCTCATGACGTGCAGGCAACACATACAACTAAGTGCTAAGTTAACATCTTGTAGAAAAACCTACATAATGTCGAAAAAACCAGCATAATGTCAAAAAAAATCTGCACAATGTCACTTTTCAAGATACGTGATACCCGTGCCGAGTAACAGAAAATTAAGAAAATTTAATTGTGCTGCAAAGAGACATCTAGAGACACCTCACATGTCAATATTTCATCAAGATTAATTTTTTTATTAAAAAACGACATTTTGCTTTTATACAAATTTTAAACGAATCCAACAATCCCTCATATGTCAAAATGAAAACAAAATATCAAATGAAATGTTCGAACAGACCCCGTTCTTAGGTTTGACAATAACCTAACCCATTGAAGAAGCCTGTGCGAACATCTTCTGGTGTAACGTTTTGGCAACGCAGCAACTGCGTCTCCGTCGCTAGAAAATGTGGTGGTGACATTCGCTCTTCAACCGACTTTCTGACATTGAACTCAATACGTATGTCAAAATCCATCAAGCTGTAAAATAAAATTTCTTGGATACATACCTATGCGTCAAAAATATCGTATCCTTCCTTCAAACACAGTCGGTAAAAATATAAATAACAAACCCTGACAGCATAATAATGCTTTAATAAAAGACGTGAAACTTTAACTGCACAGCGTCAAATGTCTTATAATATCTAAATTAGACAATTCAAGAACATTTTCAAAAATAATATAACTTGAAGGAATTAGTATTCCTTATCGGCTCCCGATTTTAGTTTGTCCAGCCTGGTTATGTATATTCTTAAAATTACCGTAGCTCAAGGAGAAAAACCAAGTCTTTCATGTGACTTCGAAGACAAAGAATTGTGTGGATGGACGCACGACTTAAACCACGATTTTGACTGGAGGAGGGAAAATCACAATACACCAAGTGGAGCTATAGGCACGGGACCTAGTTACGATCACACCAAGGGAATTGGTGAAGATGGCAAGTATTTACGTTTACGTATTTGAGGTAGAACTAGTGCAATAGATAATACATTCCTTCGTGAATTATCCACTTTCCAACTTTGGGGTACCGATGAAACGCCCTCGCAACATCGACGCTTAGGCAACGAGAATTACGCGACCGCGCATGGAACGCGTTCGCGTTCATGAAGACTAGAAATTGGAGGTTACACTGGGATGATCATAGAAATATGTTAGTCAAGGATGAGAAATAGGAGCAGTAACGGCAACATTTTTGATACTTTGTCGCTCTAGAATCGCAATGTTGTCAACCCTGCAAACGTATTTTATAGGAAAACATCTTTCCTAGCGAAGTTTTAGCTTCGAACATTTCCATGAAAAAATTCACACCAAATCTACATTTTCAGGTTACTACATGTATATTGAGTCATCGTCACGGAATGAAAACGACACGGCTAGGTTAATATCTCCCGTTTATGATAAAGTGGACACTGAAGTATGCTTCGAATTCTATTATCACATGTTTGGCGCTACCACTGGGTCTTTGAGAGCATATGTTAAGAAAATCTCGGAAAACTGGAATTTGGACCCCAAGAAAGCATTTTTCTCGATGAGCGGCAATCAAGGTGATAGATGGTATCGAGCATTCCATCGTCTTGGTATAATAGATGACGAATTTCAAGTGAGTTTTGGTAGAAATATAATACGAAGTATTTTAAATTGTCATGTATGATATGTTGGCACCTATCCTCACCCATGACACATTCACCGCATTCACTGCTTTTTTTCTGCGCCCTAGAGTTATGTCGTACTGATGAACTCTAATGAAAGCAAAAGCACGTTATCTGCGACTGGTTTAGGGGGTAGTGGATATCAAGCACGTTATCATACACTCTTTAACATTGATTCCGTGATTTTCAGATTATTATAGAAGGCGTTAGAGGTCCTGGATATATTAGCGATATAGCAATAGATGATGTTAAATTAATACCAAACTGTACAGTGGAGGAAAATGATGCAGTTGCCACTACAACAGAGTAAGTCAACTCCACACTTGCTAACAATCATCACTTTATGCTACAGTACTCTTCATCATCGCATATATAATAATGACCAGAGTATTGTTGGTGCTATTGCAATTTTTATTGAGTAGGTTAGCATAAAGCATTCAGTGATTATATTTTATGCATATTTATAATTTTTGCAGAGGAACTACCTCGATTACAGAAATGATCCAAATAGTGGACACATGTGACAACAGATGTGGTCAGAAAGAACCAATTTCTCACAACGTTTATCATCTCACATGCGATTGCGATGCCACATGTTTTGACAATAATCGGTGCTGTCCTGATTATCTAGACCACTGCGCTTTCAGTAAGTATGAGAATTGTATAATCAAAATAAATATAACCACATAACAAAATTTAAAGCTATATTTGAATATTGAGAAAACTGTCAAGCATTGATCCTAATGCACCAGCAGCAATGCAAGCCTGACACTCTTAAAAATAATCGGGTTATCACACGGGCGAATCTCCTGTTATTAACAAATTCAGCTGCTTCCGTACCTCAGCTAAATTGTCGATTGGCTTTGAATAAACTTTTTCTTTTACCGCTACCCAGTAAAAAAATCTAGTGGACGGGCTGGCCACGAAATTGTACCAGACCGCCCTATCCATCTGCTCGTGTATTCCGCATCAAGATTCTGTGATCTATCTTGTCTTTTTTTAAAGACTATAATTTGAAAAGTACACGACTTGGATTTTTTATATTTTCTGATAACTATCGAGTTTTCCAATAGAGACTTGACAACTTTGAACCTTCACTGTGAACGCACCTTTAAATCAATTACCGAACAATGTCAAAACACTCAGTAAAGACAATATTTTCATCATGGTGAACTACACGAACGAACAACGCTTACAAATAAATAAAATTTACTACCGAAATTCCGAGACGGTGACTGCAACTTAAAGAGCGTGAACGCCAATTTTTTGTCTTAATTCTCGTCCCAGTAGACAAGCAATTCATAGTCTAGTAAAGAAATTTGAGTTTATATATTCGCTGCTGGATGTTCCCGTGCCGGGTTGATCGAAGTGCAGAGAATTGGGCAACGCTCAGACCACACTTTGGCGAATTTTGCAAAGAGATCTTGGCCTGCACCTTCATCAGATCAAGTTAACTTAAGAACGAAAGCCGTTTGATCATATAAACCGACGTACCTCCTCGAATTGGGCTCTAGAAATGTTTCAAGAAAATCACCAATTTCATCGCAAAATTATCTTCAGTGATGACGCGCATTTTTGGCTAAACGGCTTCGTCAATAAACAGAATATACATTTTTTTTAAATTTTTGTGTTTTCTTTCGTTGGGTCGTGTACTTCTGGGGCCATATATATATATATATATATATATATATATATATATATATATATATATATACAGGGTATCCCAGAAGTCGACGTCAAGCCGAAACCGGGTGATAGGCAAAGTCATAACAACTATCAGAAAAATATTTAAAAAAAATTATGTATGTGTTTTGAAAATTATAGGTCTTTGAAAAAATATAGAAATTTCACACCCTACGGCAGTCTGTCAACTCCTGTTACTACAAATATTAACTTTTTTTGGATTTTATTTTTACAATGTAATGATGAATAATGCATCTTCAAACTGGTGTCTCAACCTTACTGCCAACTTTTCTCGTTCAGGAAAAATTGCCACTTATTTCCCAACCAAGTATTCCAAAGTAAAACTTTGCTCAACTTTAACTGGCTGTACTGGAAAAAAATCTACTACGAGAGTTTGGCAAGTAACCTTAAAAGTTGGCGCATTTAATAAGGATTCCAAAATGGTATAACACTTAGAAGATTACACGTTAGCTTATGCACAATTTTTATTTGAAGAAAAACTGATGAAAATTTCCTAATTAAACAGCGATTATGAAAACGCACAAGGACCCTTAAGGATAACTGTTTGCACAACAGTGGGCGTCAAAATGCTGCTGATGATGATTTACCTTTACAGCAAATGTTCAAACTGTTTTCCTTCAGCCGCAATACACGCTCGACATCTTCTTAAAAAAGATCGGGTTATTAAACGAGCGAATCCACGGTTATTAACAAACTCAGCTGCTTCCAATAGTCTTTGCCGTAGCTCAGCTACATTTTGAATCGGCTTGAAATACACTTTTTCTTTTACAGTTCCCCAGTAAAAAAAGAGAGTGCATAGTGCGCTGAGCAGCCATCATGCTGAAACCACATGTCCCTGTAAATACTCAGTGGCACGTCCTCCAATAAATTTTTAAATGATTTTGCAAAAAACCTAAATAAACCTCAGCCGTCAAAGTCTCTGGGAACTCAAACGGACCGATTATTTTACCATTTAAAATTCCTGTCCAATGGTTTATCTTGAAGCGATATTGAGATTTATCTTCACTCATCAAATGTGGGTTTGCTACGTGCCACTCGTGTAAGTTATGCAGGTTCATGTACCCATCTTTCTTAAATGTGGTCTCATCTGACCATAAATTTTTTTCAAAGAACTGTGGATCTTTCCTGTGTCTTGCACACGCTGTACGCGGTATGGATGGAGCACGTTTTTTTGCAAGATTCTATGGGCTGTACTTTTGGGCACACCTGCTTTTAGTTCTATTGCACGCACTGAAGTACTCGGGTCTTCTTCGACAGCTCCTAGCACCACGTCTTCGTAAGGAAGGAAAGATCTTCCCTCACCGTGTGATTGGTTTGGTAGTTGGCCCTCTGAGAACAGTAAGCGGGGCACATTTGTGAACACTCGATGATCTGGATGACGAGCTGCATTCGGGTACCTCTCTACCTCTCACAGTAAAGTCTCGCTGCAGCACTAGCGTTGCATCTGCATTCCCCATAAATGAGGTGCATGTTAGCATATTCTTGTACGGTGTACACGGACATAGCGGCACTGCACAATCACACTATCAAAGATAGTCTAACGAAAGCAAATGTTGTTTTGAAGAGCAATTAAACAGTCCAAATTCAAATCACAAGCGATCAACAGTCCAGTTCACGAATCCAAAATTAGTAACAGTACGAAATCAACAAGCACGAGCATGTAAAGATGCGCAGTAAACGAAGGAGTACTGATCGGTATCAAAGTGTGCAATAGCAAGTAAGTGATGTGCTTCATCCATACCACATACAGCGTGCATAAGTTAACGAGTAATCTTCTAAGTGTTATACCATTTTGGAATCGTTATTAAATGCGCCAACTTTTAAGGTTACTTGCCATTTTTTTCCAGTACAGCCAGTTAAAGTTGAGCAAAGTTTTACTTTGGAATACTTGGTTGGGAAATAAGTGGCAATTTTTCCTGAACGAGAAAAGTTGCCAGTAAGGTTGAGACACCAGTTTGAAGATGCATTATTCATCATTACATTGTAAAAATAAAATCCAAAAAAAGTTAATATTTGTAGTAACAGGAGTTGACAGACTGCCGTAGGGTGTGAAATTTCTATATCTTTTTCAAAGACCTATAATTTTCAAAACACATACATAAACATTTTTTAAATATTTTTCTGATAGCTGTTATGACTTTGCCTATCACCCGGTTTCGGCTTGACGTCGACTTCTGGGACACCCTGTATATATGTATATATATATATATATATCACACCTTCAAAGATTTATTTGCTTTCAGGTACTACAGATGCTATTGAAACAACTACATCTACGGAACCACCAAACATAAACGTCAATAAGACCAGACCATTAGAAACAACAGCAGCCCCTGTCAAGACTACAGCCAACTCTCAACCTCCCAGATTTGTCAGTGATGATACTTCCAAATACAACAAAACTGTGATAACTTCTACGACTCTTCCAGCTCCTAGTATAAGTACAAAGCGGCTGACGAAGGCTGCAACAATCACAACTATCTCACCTAGACCAAACACTCGTCCTACTATCAAGATCGAAACTCCACCTCGAACGACAATAATTAGAAAGGTGTTCACCAGACTTACGACTAAAGTAACTACCACCGCACCGACTCTCAAGCTTTATTCTAGGCGAAGTACCATTAAACCAACGAAACAAACAACTAAAATGTCTTTACCCATCAAAACAGCAGAAGAGGAATCCAACGACATCATGGAATTTATGCCACCGTATCCGGAATCAAAGTCAACTTCTGCTTTTCCCGACGACGAATCTTCTAAAGAATATTGGTCTGACGAGTACGAAAATGTGGACTCGCCAGGTCTGATCAATTTCAGCGAAACGGAGAAGTTGAGCGTTAGAACAATTTCGGATACTCATTATAACCTGGCGCTAATATTAATTTGCGGATCGGGTTTAGTTATGCTCGTATCTGCTATAGCATTCATCGTAATACGGAGACAAGAGTGTTTCAAAAGGAGGATACATTTTTCGAATAATGGTGACAGCCAAAGCGACGTCAGGTTTTTGACGAATAATGAAGAATTAGATTTTACATATGAATTGTGATTTGCATTAATTTATTATATATGTTCCTATATTTTATCGGTATTTTATTTAATGTTGTGCCGTTGACTGTTAATTGGGACAGTAAAAAATCGAATAATAATAATAATAATAATGCCTTTATTAACTGCAGTGAGGCGAAGTTTAACCAGACGGCTACTCTTACACTCAACCCCACAACAGGAAAAAGAATACTTACACACATAAACAAAATAATAACATACAAAAAAAAAATACAATTCATAAGAATGGAAATGGACTCCAGCAGCTGACTTTTCATTAATTTCTTAAAAGACACAACCTGTTTGGATCGATAGCCACTGTTGACTGCATTGTAATGCTTGACAGCATTATAGGTGTAACTTCTTTCAAAGACCGAGGTATTGTGAGGAGGCATGTTAAAATTAGCATTAAATCTAAGAGCTCTGGTAACAAAACTACCTCGGTGAACTAATTTGCTAGCGAGGTAAGCTGGTCTGTTAGATAATAGAACTTTATGCGTGAAGACGGTCAAAAGATATAAAAATAACTTATCAATTCGCAACCAGTTGAGTTCTTTGATTTTATCTGAGACGCGACTAAACTTGCGCAATCCAAAAATAAACCTACAACAGCTGTTCTGAATTTTCTGGAGTTTCCTTTTGTGGACGTAGTCTAAACTTGGGTAATACAGAACAAGAGAGTAAGAAATGACAGACAACACAAGACTTTCAGCGAGCTTTTTTCGGGTTTTAAAATTCAAGATGTATCGATTAGAATAGAGGAGTTTCAAACGCAAATACGTTACTTCTAGATAAGAAAGAGACATGTCGATCGAATCTCATATTTAAGTCAAGGTTAACACCGAGATTCTTGGCGTAATCCACAAAAGGGATGAGTGTCTCATCCAAAAAAACACAAATCCTCTGCTTCATTTCACGGTAGGAGTTCTTCGAACAGTACAACATTGCAGTAGTTTTATTGGGATTGATCTTCAAGCAGTGTTTGTTACAGTAATCACCGATGTTAGCCAAATCTAAATTAACTTTAAAAGAAACTTCATCAACCTTTGATGGATCGAAACCAAACACTAACTGAGTATCATCTGCATAAGTTTGCATACTACAGTGGACTAAACAGTCTTGCAGATCGATCGTATAAATCAGATATAGTAAGGGACCTAATATTGAGCCCTGAGGAACTCCTGAAGGAACTGGCTCAGAGGAGGAAATTCCCTGATCAGTTTTCACTATTTGTTGACGATTTAGCAAGTACGACTCAAAGAACCTTAGAACTATATCTGACATTCCATAATGAGATAACTTACTCAGTAGTATCTGGTGATTGACCATATCAAAGGCTTTCGAGAAATCTAACAGTACCAAGACGGTGTTGATGTGATTGTCTAAATTGTGAATGATGGAATCAATAAGATGTAATAAAGACGAAGTAGTGCTGTAACCAGCTCTGAAACCTGACAGATGTAGAGGAAATAAGTGATTTTGTTCGAAAAACTCCACTAGTTGTGAGTAGACAGCTCTTTGGAGTATTTTTGATAGAAAGCATAATAAGGTAATTGGCCTGAGATCCGAATATTGTTCTGGATGATTAGTTTTAGCTATTGGAATAATAATACCATTTTTCCAACTGGCAGGAAAGTGACCTGTTTCGAGACAGACATTAATAATGTGAGTTATATGGTCTATGGTATCAGGCAAACATAAGCAAACCATATTTAAAGTTAGACCATCACAGCCACATGCCGTAGACTTAATGTGAGAGATTATATTGACGATGTCTTGCTGAGTAAGGAGTTTAAAAGCAAATAGAGGTGCATCCGGTGTATGGCGTCTATCGCTATAAGAGTTAGAGACACTATCAATCAAATTTGGATCAGCTGCAGCTGCCTGGAAAATTGAAAGAAAATAATTATTTACAATGTTAGGCTCAAGGAGACTGGGAGGTATCGCAACATGTTTCTGGGCTACCACATTCATCCTCCTCAGGTGTTTCCAAGCTTGACTAGAGTTAAGATTCCGGAAACGTGACATATATGCTTTTTTCTCTCTTCTAAGCGATGCAAGGGCATAATTTCTCAAATCTTTGTAGCTGGCCCAATTCTGATCAAATTTGTTATGCTGATAGACAGCGAATGCCTCATCTCTGAGTTGAAAAATCATTTTCAAGTTAGGAGTGAGCCAGGGCGCAGTAGGTTTTGTGACACGTACTGTACGTAGCGGAGCGTAGAGGTCGAATAGATAAAGAAGACGGCCAGTAAAAATAGAGACTTTAATATCCACATCATTCACGAAATAAATGTCATTGAGCAATCTGCGTCTTAAAACTTTGAATATCAATGCTATTAAGATTTCTATGTTACAAATTTAGGCTCTATTTTTTTATAACAAACGGAAATATCACAGTATGTGAGCCGATGATCACTACTTGAGTCTGCATTGAGTGTCACTGACCTTTTGACGATAGTATTGTCACTAACAAATATTGGATCAAGTAATGTGGAACTGAAGGCTGTAACACGTGTAGGCTCATCAATGACTTGAATGAAGTTGAATGAATCAAAGCAGCTGCTGAGGATGTTGTTATGAGCAAGCAAGTCGACATTCATATCGCCCAAGAATATAATGTTGTCATATTGGGGAGTGAAAAATGAGATAAGATTTTCTAAACACTGGATGGCTTGATGTATAGAGCAATGTGGTGGCCTATATATAACAACAATTAACATACTGGACCCGTGCAGTTTAAATTTATAGCATAACATTTCAAGAGGATTTTAGTCAGGTGGCCACGAAATTGTACCAGACCGCCCTATCGATCTGCCATTTCGCCATTCAAGAACTCTGGCAGCTCAAAGGGTACAATGGTTCTTCCATTTAGAATCTCGGTCCACATGTTTACTTTAAAATGATACTGTGATCTAAATTGTCTCATCAAATGTGGAGTTGTGTTGGGACATGTATACAACAGGTAAATGCGCTAAGTTCCAAACAAAAACAGTCACGCCTAGTATTTTGTTCTTTCAAGTAATTACCGCTACGTAACTCAAATTTCCAACTGATATAATTTTGTAGTCAGTAAGGAGGAAGTGAGTGAAAATCAGTTTGCTTTGTTTCTATATCTTAATTTATTTTCAAATACTGTCGAGGTTGATACATCTTGAGTTTGTTTCGCTAAATCAAATAAACCTTATCTACTGGAGCAATGAAACTAAAACATTATTCGAAATCATACAATGGAATAGCGAAGTTATACTACAACATATTCTTCACATTTTTAGCAGTACTTTAAGCAATTTCGAACATGTCTTGTTCTATCGGTTTGCAGACCCAGTTGCCCAGACCTGCTTTCTTGAATGAATCGATCAGCCTCTCTTTGGCAGCCTGAAAAATAATGGAAACATCTCATTTATACATTTTTCACATTTAAAAGCTTAAAAATTGCAATCCGTTTAAAATACCCGTTTACAAAATGACATATAAAATGCAACACCCAGAATTATTTATTGAATTTAGATGAATACTTGTAAACATATTTGCTATCCTGAGTATACGCTGATAAAATGTTGAAGGCATTCCAAGCCGTGCTAGCTCGACTGTTCTTCCAATATTATTACTAATATATTTCCACGGCACTCCATTGCCTTTTGACATCTATTGAGATAAAGGCTAAAAATCAGGACCGCGTCCAGAACTATTTACATTAGAAACTGATGAAAATCCATTTCCACATACAGACTGTTACCGACTAAGAAATTTGACAATCAAATATACAGGGTGCGCCATCTTTTATGTCGGCATGTAAACATAAAATAACTTTGAAAACGAAAAACTGATTTCTATATATCGGGTAATTTTATTAAATATGGTCCTTTACAATTTATTGGGACTAGTTTTTGAACACAACATCTATCAAGTGGCCACCTTTATTGGCCAAAACAAAATGTGCCCGTTTTGCTGAGTTTTCCATTACTTTTTCGAGCATCTCTGTTGGTATAGCGGCGATTGCGGTACGAATGTTTGCCTTGAGTTCTTCAGTGGACTGGGGCTTGCTGGCGCACACTTGACTTTTCAAATAACCCCACAAGAAGAAGTCCGGTGGGGTCAAATCTGGAGACCTGGGTGACCAGTCAATGTCACCTCTTTTTGACATCAGACGTCCAGGGAATTGTCGTTGCAGAACCTGGATTGGTTCATTTGCAGTGTGGCATGGCGCACCGTCTTGTTGAAACCAGTAACCATCAAGACCTTTTTTACGCATTTGTGGGCAGACATAATGAGCCAACATCCACCGATATCGATTTCTGTTTGCTCAACAAAACGACGATTTTCAAAGTACATTGTGACTATTTCGGCGCGTTGTTTCGGTGTAAGGCGATTCATGACTAAAATTGTTGTTTCAGAAACACGTATAACCAAATCACTCGGTTGGTAAATATCAAAGTCATTCGATGTTTCAACACCGACATAAAAGATGGCGCACCCGGTACAAGGTGCGCATAGAGAAATCCTAAGAATCACATAAAATCATCGTTAGAGAATATGAATCTCTATACCTCAGAGCCAGACTAGATTAAGTCCAAATAAGTAGTTTTGAGATAATCGAGTTTGACATTTTTGTTATATTTTTGCTCAAATTTCATGAAGTTGAAATTTAACACTTTAGGTTATTTTCCCGACTTGCTGCAAGCAGCAAATGAACATTAACAGTGTTATCCAGGAATAACATGCAAACTCATTTTAGACAAAACTAGTCTGGCTCCGAGTTAGACCTGTATAAAAAAAGCAACAAATCTACGGGTACAGAACATCCTCCCCTCTTAATAGGACAGTGTTGTCAGTCACTTGATAAGGGGTGTTTTGAATATTACTAGAAAATCAGCTATAAGTTGACACGTTTTGCCTTGATGAAGAGAAAAATATCATTGATTAACATATTCTTCCAGAGCCTATGAAGCTATACTATATTTAGACGAACACATGCAAAAAATGGCGTCAAGTAGGTTAACTTTGCACTTCCCACGTAACGCTGTTATACAGGGTGTCGCAAGGAAAACGAAACGCATTTACTGGCAGCTCAGTTTTTTTTAAACGCTCAGACCCGTCGATTTTGTTTTCGAGGGGGACACAAGTTTGGCAAAAAATCACGTTAACACGTGCAGCCCCCTGCGCGGAGGTGACACCAACCCTAAAATCTTAAATGGAAAGGGGGGTCGAGTGATACCTTATTTTAAAGGTCTTTCAACTCCCTTTATAATGATGTAAAATACATGAGCTTCAGTTGAGTAGTTTTGAAGATTCATTGATTTAAAGCTTAAAGTAGACTTTAATAGGTACATCAGATTAGTTTGTACTATTTTCAGAAGAAATTTGACTAAAAGAATTTACTTAATAAGTAAATGCTTTTCTTCACTACGCCTATGGTTTGTTTATCATTTTGTTGTTGAAAATAGCTATTGGAGCGTTTTTTTGTGGCAAAAAGGTTATTTCTTGAAGAAAGATAAGGAAATATCTCGTACTTATTTTAAATAGGAATTTAGTACATACTTTGCGATTGATTTGAACAAACTTTGTTGCTAAAATAACTTGTAACGCTTTATTAAATAAATTAACCACGGTATATTCCACAGCAGAAAGAGTTGAAATTATAGAAATATTTTTCGGAAATAATCAGTGCGCTAATAGAACAGCAGAAATATTTAATGAGCGACATGAGAACAGTAACGTGCATCGAAAATATGTTCTAGAACTTGTAGCTAAATTTCGGGAAACTGGGTCAGTCGCCAATAAAAAACGCAATATTGAAAATCCCATAAGGAACGAAGCAATAGAGGTGGGGGCTTTAGGGCAAGTTTATGAAGATCCTACGTTAAATACCCGCAAACTGGAGACTGTGTGTGGTGTTAGTCGACGTACTGTCCAACGGATTCTAAAGGCCCATAGTTTTCATCCGTATAAAATTCACCTGGTACAAGAACTTAATGAAGACGATTTTGATCGGCGATTACAATTTTGTGAACGAATTATAAACGATGAACATTTTATATTCAACACTTCCTTTTTCTTAAATTGCGTAGTAAATCGTCATAACTGCCGATATTGGTCCGATTCTAATCCCAGAATTTATCATTAGGTTCATACACAGCAGCCACAAAAATTAAATGTTTGGGATGGTATTTTTGACGATAATTTAGTTGGTCCTTTTTTCTTTCCTGGAAATTTGACCGGTGAAATGTATTTGGAATTACTGGAAGATGCCATAGGTCCTGCATTAACAGCCATAATTGAAAATCAGAATGATCGGCGGTACATTGCGAATAGGTTGATGTTCCAACAGGATGATGCCCCACCACATTACGCATTACGTGTTCGACAATATTTAGATCAGACGTTTCCAGATCGATGGATTGGTAGAAGAGGTGCTATTGAATGGCCCCCAAGATCGCCAGATTTATCACTTTTGGATTTCTTTATGCGAGGTCATTTAAAAAGCAAAATCTATGCTACTCGGCCAAAATCATTAGAAGACCCGCGACAAAGAATTGTGAATGAGTGCCTTCAAAATTACTCCTCAAATATTGCAAAATGTGCGGCAACGTTTTGAGCAAAATCTGTATTATTGCATGGAGAGTCATGGTGGCAATTTTCAACATTTACTTGCCTAACGGGTCAGTTCATTCTTCATTTTTAAATTACTTTGCTGCCAAATGTATTGATCTCCACTAATGATGATGTATTAGTTTTATTTAAGCTTTAAATCAATAAATCTTCAAAACTACTGGACTGAAGTACATTAATTATATATCATTATAAAGGGAATTGAAAGACCTTTAAAATAAGGTATCACTCGACCCCCCTTTCCATTTAAGATTTTGGGGGTGGTGTCACCCCCGCTTAGGGGGCTGCACGTGCTAACGTGATTTTTTGCCAAACTTACGTCCCCCTCGAAAACAAAATCGACGGGTCTGAGCGTTTTTCAAAAATTAAAACTGAGCTGCCAGTGAATGCGTCTGTTTCGTTTACGATGCGTCACCCTGTATATAATAAGAATGCCGATATACTTACTTCATAACCTTCAACCGCGGTCTTAGCTTCATTATAAACCGGTGGAGCAGTCTTGATATTAGTAATAGAATCCACCTTTCCGCACAGCGCAGCAAATCTGCAGCCAAGCTTTTGTTTGGATACTGCCGATACAATAGAATCGTCAATTTTACCCGTCATGGTGTTTACTATCTCAGGCTTAGGGAATCCCTTCATCCAAATGACGGCGAAGTTCGGAGCTTTATGCGGGTGACGTACTTCTTTAGAAGTAGTAGGCAGCATTTCGGGTCTGCTTAGCTTGAACGGTGGGGGTAATCCTTGAATGGTATTCTCTATGCGACCACAAATAGCTCTGCAAATAATTGTAACTAAGAAAAAAAAACAAATATGATCGATAGTTGTCATGTTCGCCGTGATTAATATTTCATTGAATACAAACTTGGTGAACAACTCTAAAATACGTTAAATAACATACATTACTACAGGATATATACTGGGCACTATTTGCGAAAGTGATATTCTCCATATTTATCGCTATTTGCAAATTAATGACGGCAACTGAGAATAAAAAAAATTAGAAAGACCTGCACAAGTAACCGAAACAAGCTCATGGATAGTGCAAAAGGTTTTTTAATAGTAATTTGATGCAAAAAGTTAATCTGATGCTGCTTCAAAGTGCCAATAAAACAGCTAATTCAACTGTTTCAATATTCACGCGGATCTAAAATTTTTCGATAACGTAAAATCCATCTAAATTGTTCAGATAAAGTTCGAACTACAGATTTTTCTGGCAATAAGGATGTCACATATTAACAGGGGCTTACAATTATATACACAACAGTAGCTGCTGCGCACTGGTAAACTTTATCTGAAGTCACTTGAAATAGCATAAAAACCTTTGGTCGGCGCGTCCTTTGTAATTTCATGATGTATCATAGGCGTGCGGTGATTTATTTAGAACGATAATAATAATGTTTTTATATCACAATAAATGGATTTTACTATCTTCTTATTTTTTTGATTTGGGATAAAAAATACTTATATTGGGAGTTTAATTTATGTTGACTGAAAGTTAAGAAATGGAAAAATTACAGAATTCCAACGTTTGACATAGGCAAATATTTACATAGCAGGTAGGTATACAAAAAGGTATATAAAGACTTACATTATAGGTATTTATATATCATCCTCGCCTTCGGAGCTGTCGCTAGAGTCATCTTGTAGAGGAATTACAACGGGATTTACAGGAGGCAAAACACAATATTCATTTTCTTTTTCAATAATATGCCTAGAACACTGCTTCCATAGGTCTGTGGCAGCAATATGAGATACTGCATCTCTTATTGTGGCCAATAGCGATTCACTTAATTGAGGGGTCTGATTATGTTTTCTTACTTTTTTTTAAAGCAGCCCAGACCAATTCAATCGGGTTAAAAATGCAGTAATAGGGAGGTAGACGTAATACTTCATGGCCATTTTGCTGAAGCAGATTATCAACAACATACTCTTTTTCAAATTTTTGTCTTTTAATAAGATCCAATAATATGGCTTTGGTTGATTTTTGTGGTATTTCCATTCCCTTATCCTTCATACAATCAATAATGTCTTGTTTTTTTGTGCCTGTATTCGGAATTTTGTTTTTCTGTCGGGAATGGTATTGCGCATTGTCCATAATAATCACTGAATTTGGGGAAATGTTTGGTATTAACTGCTACTCTATCCACTTTTCAAATAAGTCGGAGGTCATGTCCTCATGATAGTCGGCACATGATTCTTTGATATTTTTGGCAGATAACAGCAAGGCATTAGGTATATATCCATTTTCACTGCCAGCATGGAGAATAATGATTCATTTTCCACGGTTGCATGGTGCATTTAAAATGCACTTGTTGCTGTCGTCAACCCAGCCGTACTGCACAACATCATGGGTATCATACCACGTTTCATCCAGGTAAATCAGATTTCTTTTCATAGATTTTAACTTTGTGCAAAAATTCTTGGCGCAATTCAACGAGTCGAGACGACTCCATAATCACCATTCTTTTATCTAATTTTTTGTATTGAAAACCACACAGTTTTACAATACAGTACAGTGAGTCTAAGCATTTGTAATTATAAAAATCTTCAGGATAATCTTTTAATTTATCCCGTATAATTTCCAACGTGGGCACCAAATTTTCTTTATAAAATCCGTATATTATACGACGAATATCTTCCTGAAAACCCACGTCTATTCTTTTTAATTTTTGCTCTATGCGCTTTCTGTGGAAGGAATGGTTGACTACATCTCCCCTTTTTATAACTCGATAAATGGTAGACCGACTGATTTTTGTCAGGATACAAATTCTGTTTAAAATTTGATTTTGCGAGGAATCTGGATTTTCGTTTTTCAGACAATCATACATATTTAGGATTACTCTTTGGGTCTGTTCCTCTAAATCTTTATGAAAGAATTCTGCCTGCACAGGTTCATCAACCATCTCCTCGTGGCTTGGAGCATTTTCCCAAGGTCTCCAAAGAGCCATATTTAGGACACACAAGAACAATCAACACAACAATTAAATCAACAAGTAAACCGAGTATTCAAAAGTCAAAAACACACAAACTAATAAAATCTATGAAAAAACACGGACAGACTAAAGAAAACACGTTTATTCACCGCTACACGGCACTGGCTAAACTGTTTCAATTTTCAGTAGCCACCTGCACTTGTTGAGCTCTGAAATACACGCTTTCTCATTGGCTATGTCTACGCATAGGCGTGCTTTACTCCACGTGGACCGGTGAAACTGCCTTTGATCTTATACGGGGGATATTTGCTGCGAAATTTGGCGATTTTTGCAGCAACAGAGCGTGTTAAATATAGATCTATAAAACGCACCCGGTATTTCACAGTGTTTCAAGTGACTTCAGATAAAGTATACCTCTGTTTTTCCTGTATGTCTATATATCCTGAATCAAGTAGAGACTGTGAGATCAAACATTTTTTATTCAATACAAAATAATAGAATTATTATTCTAATTTGAATCCGCGTCTTTTTTTCGTTCAGCAAAAACTTCCATCGAAGAATCCAAATAGAGTGTATTAGCTACTGGTCTTTAGATATAGAGGATAGAGAAGTTGTTGAGTGTGTCTTCAACCAAAGAAGCTCGACGGTATTCTTTAATAATTTTCAAAGAGCTCATGACACGATCAGCACTAGCTGAACCGATAGGCAAAGTCAAAAACAATCTGAATAAACTGCAGCTCTCTGGAAAACTGTCTATAAAATTGTTTGCAATAATGAACTTTAAATAATCTAGCGGGTTGTCATTAGTAAAATTACGATTTTTTGAAAAATACATGCTCGTAAAACTGGCCAATTCATATTTTAGATCTGTAGTGAAAAATTCCGAATATTTTTCCGTCAAATGTGACGCTGGTTTCTAATTCGTTTTTTTTTACATTGACTAATTTCTCTGTTATCAAAAAACCAAACACATCATTCACTTCACGAAATCCTTCAGTACGTTCTTGCAATTCATTACTCATCCAATCCAAAACTTCGTAGTAATTTATTAGATGTTTTTCGTGTGATTCCAGTGGCGGGTTTTCCCATTCAATCTCTTCCCATTTATTCTTAGCCTTCAGAACAAAATTATCGTATATGCTTTCGCTCCTCAAATCTTTTAATTTTTTTAATGCTGCTGAAATGCACCTTTGAGCCATCATCAAGTCTATTTCTGTCTTTTGCATTTGAACTTACACTACGCTCAATACTGAATGCCACCATAACAAATTGAGGCCAAAGGTCCAGTTCATGGAGGAAAGGAGAGATCTTGCATTCATTATATATTCGCCAGAAGCTCCCACTCTTCATCTTCTATGCAATTGAATATACATTCAAAAAATTTCTCCCACGATATTATCACGAAGAAAATAGATATGTCATCAAATAAAAAAATGCACAGTATTGTGAAAGTTTATGGTTGAAGACGTGAAAAGACTGTAATAGACGCATTAGAGTCCTTATTGGACTGAAAGAGGCTGATTCACACCACGAAGATATTTATTTTCTGAATATTTTATGCCAGGTAACAATATACTGTAAGCACAAAATGAAAAAATAACCCCTCCACTCCTTGAGAAATAAAAGGGTCATTTTTTTATAAATGAAATGGTCTGTATTCAAAAAATTTCTTAACGAAATGAAAGGGAACTTTTCTTATTCAAACTGAATGCTAACGCGCTGTTTCATAAACATTACGCAGATGGTCATTAAAAGGATATAACTCTGATTTCTTGTTATTAATTTTACATTCAGACGCGCTGAACAATAAAGACACTAGAGCTAATTTTTGCCCTGTGACCACCCTTCCTTGGGGGGTGGGGGGCATGTCCATTTTGCCATTACTTAAATCCGCCACTGTGACGGACAAAACCACAAAAAAGTTGTTGCACTGGATTCAAAGGAGATGGTAAGTATTAATATTAACCGATTCGCAGGAAGACAAAAAAGAAGAATTAATTTTGTTATTTAACAATAAATTGTTCATTTATAAATTAGATTTAATATTTTAATCACTTTTAGGCTGTACCCTAAGAGTAGGGTTGTCATCTGCCATCCGTCCGCCAGTCAAGTTTTTAATTTTTATGTCAGAGGCAATGATGTCAATTCCCAATTCTCCCCACCCTCTCCCCCCCATAAATTACTGCTAAAGTAACAGAAGTCTTGATATTTACTGAAACTTTGTCAAAGAAAACTCTCGGTTCTCACTGTTTTGCTCAATGAACGTTAACTGTGGAGACTCGAGATTTTTCTGGGATTGTCAAAGACATCGAATGATTGAAAGAAAATTAAAACAACGCGAATCCTACCAGAGATTCGACATTTGTCATATAAACAACGTCTAAGGGCTAAGAATTTGACAAGACTCGCTGAGCGAAGATTACCGGGGGACCTGATTGAGACATTCGAGATCATCAGTGTCACTCATGTACTCGTCAAATATTCAATATGAGTTCAAGGATAAGCTGGATAAGGAACTAGAAGAAAGAGCAGCAAGTTTCGTGCATTATCCAGCATAAAAAATACACAACAGTGCCATCAGACTTTTCCACCTACAGCTGTCGTAGTAATAGTAATAATTCGAGTGCTTACCTGTAAAGATGATCATGCTTGAACAGGCTTCCCAATATAAGGGATTTCAAATAGATTGGTTCAATAAAATGCGATAATAATGATCCCTGCAATCCTAGGACGTTCCACCTACATATTTTGTCGGAACAAGACATAGTTAAGAGTCTTTCGCCCTAAAACCATCAAAGAATCTAGTACAATATATAAATAACTCAGTTTGAAAGCCACATGTACAAGGTCTGTAAAGTGTTTAGACTGATTTTTTTTATTAAAATATAATTACAATTTCATATTGTCACCTTCAAAATAACTTCCTTCTGAAGCCACACAGCGCTGGTTCTGCCACTCCTCATAACAGTGCTGAAAAATTGTTTCACAGTGTTGCCAGTCTCATCACTTAATTTACAGACCTTGTATATGTGGTGAGAAAAAATGCACCTGATGACACAGTAATGTCCGCTTATAACAAACCGGTTTATTGCGAACTTCTGTTTATAAGGAACTAATTTATAAGGTACAGACTGAAATGATATTAAATGTGTGCTATTTTTCACGCATATAACGAACCTCCTGATAAAACGAACCTAAATGTTTGATATATTCGTAAAATTTTTCGGTTATAACGAGCGTAAAACTGGATTTTACCAGAATCAGGTAACCGAAATCTTCCAACCTCGTGGTGAGGTATGAGCAATCGTCAGCGTCTGCCACCAGTCCGCCACCGCCATTTAGTCTGATACCTTCTTTATTCGTTGTATTCAGTGTCCTGCACTCTTGAAATCATGGGTGACGCAATTTCTAAGAAAACACGTAAAGCTCTTAAAATAGTAAATACGATATCGTCAAGAGATTGCAAGGAGGTGTGAAGCAAAGTGAAGTTTGTTCTGAAATGGGACTAAGTAAATCAACGGTGAGTTGCAGAATAACATGTCCTAAACATACATAAATAGGCACTCTGAGATATGAATTTGATTTACAATTTTTCATTTTAATTACAGGTTGGTGCAATTTGGACAAATAAAGACAAAATACTGGAAATGTTTGAGAAAGGCCAAAAGATAAATGTGAAGAAAATTAAAAAGCCCCCCAATTATAAAGTTGATCAGGGACTTCTGAAATGGCTTTCTCAACAGAAAAATAAAAAAGTAAACATAAGTGGTGCTATTCTTCAATCGAAGGCGAAGACCTTGGGAAGAAGTTATTGAAATATGAATAACTCAGTGAAGAACCTAAATTTAGTAAAAGCTGGATAGGAAGATTCAAAACACGACATAAAATTACCAGTGGAAAAATTGTTGGAGAGTCTGCTGCAGTTGATATGGACTGTGTGAATAACTGGTTGCGGAACAAGTGGCCAATCATTAGAAGGAACTTCAAAGACAAGGACATATGCAATGCAGATCAAACTGGGTTATTCTATAAGCTTACACCTGGCAGGAGCTTAAGATTCAAAGGTGAGAAGTGTGAGGGTGGGAGGCTAACTAAAGAAAGAATCACTGTGCTTGTAGTGGCAAATCTAACATCCAGTATTGACAGCACTGTAGTCAATATACTTGGGTATCATTTCTTCCGTAAGGACCGTGGGAGCAGAGGGGGTGGCATCGGTCTCTATGTTAAATTAGATATTAGCAGTAATGTTATCCCAGTTGGGCTCGATGTCTTTATAAATCCTCTTGAAATGTTATGCTATAAATTTAAACTGCACGGGTCCAGTATGTTAATTGTTGTTATATATAGGCCACCACATTGCTCTATACATCAAGCCATCCAGTGTTAAGAAAATCTTCTCATTTTTCACTCCCCAATATGACAACATTATATTCTTGGGCGATATGAATGTCGACTTGCTTGCTCATAACAACATCCTCAGCAGCTGCTTTGATTCATTCAAGTCATTGATGAGCCTGCACGTGTTACAGCCTTCAGTTCCACATTACTTGATCCAATATTTGTTAGTGACAATACTATCGTCAAAAGGTCAGGGACACTCAGTGCAGACTCAATTAGTGATCATCGGCTCACATACTGTGATATTTCCATTTGTTATAAAAAATAGAGCCTAAATTTGTAACATAGAAATCTTAATAGCATTGATATTCAAAGTTTTAAGACGCAGATTGCATCAATGCAGCTTAATGACATTTATTTCGTGAATGATGTGGATATTAAAGTCTCTATTTTTACTGGCCGTCTTCTTTATCTATTCGATCTCTACGCTCCGCTACGTACAGTACGTGTCACAAAACCTGCTGCGCCCTGGCTCACTCCTAACTTGAAAATGATTTTTCAACTCAGAGATGAGGCATTCGCTGTCTATCAGCATAACAGATCTGATCAGAATTGGGCCAGCTACAAAGATTTGAGAAATTACGCCCTTGCATCGCTTGGAAGAGAGAAAAAAGCATATATGTCACGTTTCCGGAATCTTAACTCTAGTCAAGCTTGGAAACACCTGAGGAGGATGAATGTGGTAGCCCAGAAACATGCTGCGATACCTCCCAGTCTCCTTGAGCCTAACATTTTAAATAATTATTTTCTTTCAATTTTCCAGACAGCTGCAGCTTATACAAATTTTATTGATAGTGTCTCTAACTCTTATAGCGATAGACGCCATACACCGGATGCACCTCTGTTTGCTTTTAAACTCCTTATTTGTGTTTTTTTGGATGAGACACTCATCCCTTTTGTGGATTACGCCAAGAATCTCGGTGTTAACCTTGACTTAAATATGAGATTCGATCGGCATGTCTCTTTCTTATCTAGAGTAACGTATTTGCGTTTGAAACTCCTCTATTCTAATCGATACATCTTGAATTTTAAAACCCGAAAAAAGCTTGCTGAAAGTCTTGTGTTGTCTGTCATTTCTTACTCTCTTGTTCTGTATTACCCATGTTTAGACTACGTCCACAAAAGGAAACTCCAGAAAATTCAGAACAGCTGTTGTAGGTTTATTGCTGGATCGCGCAAGTTTAGTCGCGTCTCAGATAAAATCAAAGAACTCAACTGGTTGCGAATTGATAAGTTATTTTTATATCTTTTGACCGTCTTCACGCATAAAGTTCTATTATCTAACAGACCAGCTTACCTCGCTAGCAAATTAGTTCACCGAGGTAGTTTTGTTACCAGAGCTCTTAGATTTAATGCTAATTTCAACATGCCTCCTCACAATACCTCGGTCTTTGAAAGAAGTTACACCTATAATGCTGTCAAGCATTACAATGCAGTCAACAGTGGCTATCGATCCAAACAGGTTGTTTCTTTTAAGAAATTAATGAAAAGTCAGCTGCTGGAGTCCACTTAGTTCAGTTTTTCTTGTGCTCATGTGATTTTTTTTTGTTATTGTTTTACGCAAGGGGGTTTCTTGGAGGTTGAGGATCATTTCGATCCCGACGATGACCTGCCATTAGTTGAGTGGATGAAGAAAATTCAACAGGAAGACGATCTTCGAGACAATATTAGAGCCAATCTTCCTTATAGTGGAAACGATTTCAATACGTTTGTTCATATTGATGACCAAGTTGTGACGGTCGAATACCTGGATGATGATGCCATTGTAGGTGCTATATCTTCGGCAGTTGATACTGATGATGAAGAAGAAAAGGAAAACAAAGATGAAGAATCTGTCGGTATGGAGCTGATACCAACTCCAACCACATCAGAAGCACTTCGACATATTGACAGCGTTCGTCATTTCTTTCAGTCACGAAATAATCCGCAGCGTGTGCTAGATCGACTAGCTGAAGTGGAATTAAACCAAACTAAAATGATTTTTTAAGAAAGATTTTCAAAACTTTTATAAATGTGGATTATAGATATTACTATATACTATTACAAACATTTTATATACCCCTGGTTGAATAATAAACTAATAAAAAATATTTTCTGGTATTAGCATCATTTATCGTTTATTACGAACTTCGCTTATAGCGAACGAGTTTCGCCGGTCCCTTGAGGTTCGTTATAAGCGGACATTACTGTACTTCTTTTTCTTGATTGCAATGAGCTCGTGTCTAAAGGGGCATCCGCCCAGGCTACTCCTGCTAATCATGGTAAAAAAATATGTATAGATAGACAACACACATAATTTTACTTTTGCAATGTTGCAAATTGTATTGCCTTCCGTGTAGGTGTGCGATACTGGCGCGCCATTGTACAGGACCAATAAATATTGAATGTTATCGTCATTATACCTGAATGATTCCATCCCAAGTCTGGATCGAACTGGCTGCTTTAACTGGTATGGTGCCTTCTCCAGACTCGATCTTTGTCCTCAACTGCCCCCTAGAAATTCTGTTGGGATGTTTATCTACTTTGCCGGTCTCCTCGTGAGGACTGAAGATACGAGCATCGCCGCACGGCGCAGTATTGATGTACAAGTGAAATTCTATTCCGTCTTTCAGTTTATAGCCGCTACCGTTCGGCCTTTTCTCGAAGATAGACTTTGCTGAACCTTTCGGGAAACGCATGATTAGATCTCAAGAAACGGCAAGAACCAATAGTGATGTATTCAGAACAGATTCAACGAACTCTTCGATTGTTGAGATTGAGTCAGGATCCATGTTTTCATTCTCAAAGTAAAGGTTAGCCTGTGGTTCTATTTACTACAGCAGACGCTCGATAACGTAAACACGGGATAATGAAAACTTGCGCTAATGTAAACACAAACTTCGTTCTATAGGATCAAACGGAACGCGCGTAAACGTAAACAATGTGTACGCTCGATAACGTAAACAACTCTCGGCGCACGGAAACAGCGCGACGATAAAATGCTGAAGCCTTGATGATTTATGTCGGGCGTCGGGGAGTCCCCGATTTATGATGTAGAGTGTAGGGGATTCACCTCTCCGATAAAATACGACAAACTCGGTCAGTCGTATGATCGTTTAGGATATGTTTATACGTACGTATGTATTTCATTTTTAAGTGAATACATTGCACGCGTTAATATATTTTACGACTATGGCACCCACATCCTATAAAAGAAGGTGTTTAAAAGTTGAGTGAGAAAGTGAAAATCATAGACGAAGTTGCACTAGGTGCGGGAGTGACACAGTTAGCAAAAAATATGGAGTATCGAAAGCAACAATCTGTAAAATTAAGCGTATGAAAACTCTAATTTTACAAAGAACGTGCAATACATTTGGAGGTCCGGGAAAAAGAAAAACTTTAAAAAATGCGAAGGCACCTAAAATGGAAAATTCCCTGTATAAGTGGTTTTTAAAACAACGAGAAAATCATGTCCCAGTTAGTGGCGAAGTACTTAAACAGAGAGCGAGACTGTTAAATGAAAAACTGAAAGAAACTGAAAATCTCGTAGCTAGTGATGGCTGGCTACAACGATTCAAAACAAGATATGGAATTCGACTGCTGTCTATATCTGGTGAAAAATTATCAGCACAACCACAATTAGTGCAACCATTCAAAGAAAAATTGATGAAAACAATTACCGAGCTAGATTTAAGAATGGAACAAATTTACAACGCAGATGAAAGTGGCCTTTATTGGAAAATGTTACCAGAGAAAACCTATGCTGCATCATTTGAAAAATCTGCCCCGGGAAGAAAGCCGGAGAAACAACGAATAACGTTTCTAGCCTGCACTAATGCTAATGGTTCACACAAAATAAAGCCACTGGTAATTGGGAAAGCAAACAATCCGCGCTCATTTAAAAATGTTAATATCCCTGTTTATTAGGACTGTTCAAAAACCGCTTGGATGACTAGCAGTATATTCCTGAAATGGTTCCACAGGTGCTTTGTCCCTCAGGTATGACAATCAATTATCACAAATGCTCTATTCATAATTTGAAGATGTGTTTTCAATTTGTAGGTAAAAGGTTTCCTAAAACAACAGAAGCTTCCAATAAAAGCGTTGTTACTATTGGATAATGCACCAAGTCATCCTCCCGAGCAACAACTGAGGAGCAGGGATGGGTCAATTTTCGTCATGTACATGCCGTCCAACGTAACACCGTTGGACCAGAATATAATAAGTCTCACCAAACTATACTATAGGAAGTTTCTACTTTCGTCTGTCTTATCAAAGAATCCTGAAAACTTATCTGAGGCTTTAAAAAAAGTAACATTACGAGAAGCTGTTTTAGATTTACATATGGCCTGGAATGAACTTAACCAGCAAGCTATTCAAAAATGTTGGAACAATCTCTTTTGTACCAATAATGAAGATGATGAAGAAGACGATGTCCCCTTAAGCGTAATTAGAGAACGTTTGCGATCCAATAATGATAATGTTATTAGTGTGTCATTGGATGTTGTTGACTTATTGAAAACAGTGAATCCCAACATAGTTTGTACTCCTTCTGATATTAATTTATGGAACGAAGATAAGCAGACGAATGATGCTGATAAGGAGGAGGATATGGACAGTGAGGATGATGAGAACGATCCCATTGAAGTCAGAAGTGTAGTGACTGACGCGCAAGCTATACAAGTTTTTAACCAAGCTTTAGATTGGGCTGAAAGAAAAGAAGTTTCATACACGGATATTTTAGTTCTTCGTAAATTACGGGCGCAGGCATTGGAAGACAATGCTGAGCGCAAATTTACGCAGACAAAAATTGTTAATTATTTTTCTTCTAATTAAAAAAATACTTATCGCTGTTAGAATATTTGTTTATTTTGTTATAAATAGTATGTATTAAACGTTTCTTTTAATAAATCAAATATTATATAAATCACGTTCGCTAATGTAAACATTTCGATATTGTGAACCACACTTGGATTAAATTAGTTTACATTATCGAGCGTCTGCTGTATGTACTTATTGGTGCTCATTTGTGTAAAAGTCAAACAGTTTTCGCATGTAATCACTTTGATAAATCAATAGACAGTTTTGCCAATCACAAACAGCGCGTACGTAAACGTTAATGGTCACCTTTTTTGTTATTCAAATCCATGGTTTATAATAAGCAAATGAGGTTAAAATTAACGTTAACGTATGCAGTATTTGTGCTTGTCACAACTATATACTTTGCCAAAGGAATAGCTGCATTGATACGGCACTTCCAGGATTGGAGGCAGAATTTCTCTCATCTTAGCACCCTCCTCCCTCCATCCGTAAGGACAGACGGATTCTCGCACAAACACAATGAGATCGCTCCTGTTAAGTATCTGGCACAAATAAATTAATCTTACTCTCTTTCGGAAAGCCCAAAGGAAACTGACTTAGGCGAAGGAGCAGACGGATCTCAAGCCGCATTGTATTGTAAATGTTTTGGATAAATAAAATAACTCTGTAATGTTATGTAAGATAAATATATTTTGATTGATTGATTGATAGGCACTGCCATACGAGGAACTTTACTTTTGAAGGCGCTTCACTTTGAGGACGAGATATTTATTGAATTAATTTCTGTATCGCTAGTATACTTACAAGCTGTGATAGAGACAGCAACACTATCTTGACGTATTACGTTCAGTACTTGAAATTTATAACTATAATGAATAAGGATAAGTTTCTCAAATTTATCCTGTGATTGTCTTCGATTCATCCCACTCTGGCTAACAATTGAAACCGCGCAGATATAAGGCAGTCAATACGTTAGTTAAGCGATTATTTCAAAATTTGTGGTTTGATTTGTTGACCAGAATTATATGAAAAATGAATCAAGACGAATAAGCTGCTGTAGAACAAAATCAAACCATGCATCCATAAGGGCTGTAATTAATTCATAAACTGAGCTAGCATATACGCTTATGACGTACACGTACGGCGAGTAGCTGTAACATTTGTAAAAGGCTATTCAAAGCAGTTAGGAGGTAAAACGAATTTTTTCTATATATATATAGAGAGAGAGAGAGAGAGAGCAATTGATCATACGGAGATAGGTATATAACAAAAAATAGGAAAATGGGCAAAATCAGCAAAAAGAAGGAAAGTGGATTCGAGCAGAAAATAGGATAGGTAACCCGAGCGATACGTATATAACATGCTCATTTTCTCTTTGTAGATCCTTTGGGCTTGAAGTACCACATCAAGTGGCTATAACCGGTTGTGGTTAGATGTCGCCTTGAAAATTCGAGGTTGGCTCTTGTTGTGGACTTCGTGTGTGATTTTATCCTCTCTCCATCTTTGTTTCCTCAGGTTACACCCATATCAGGATGTATGAGCATGTGTATCTACTTTTGTAGTTGCATATGTGCATTTATTTTGGGCTTGATGAAGCCAACCAGCAGAAATACGTATCGCTCGGGTTACCTATCATATTTTCTGCTCGAATCCACTGTTCTTCTTTTTGCGGATTTTGCCCATTATTATCCTATTTTTTTGTTATATATATATATCGAAGAAATGATACGTTTGTACAATACTATGATGCATAGTAAATAATGAATTTATTATAGAGCAGCTCTCAATAGCTGTGTGAAGCCAGAACTGTAAGATATAGCTCTACTAAGTTTTTAGTTACTACATATCAGCTAATATCTATTGCAGATATGGTATGTATTATTTTAAATTTTTCCTTACTAAAATGGATTAAATACTGTCACAGGTTTGTCATACTTAGTGATCACTATAGAGCTCGTATCCCTGCACTAATGACTTCAAAACAGCTATGGTTATTATAATAATAAACCAAATACTGAATATAACACATATAACATTTTAGTTGCTACATCATATAGCTTGCATGGAGATGTATTGTAATCTCCATAACACGCTATACGAGGGATGTCTTTTAAGTTTTGCATATGGAAATAAAACAAGACGGTAGGTAGTTTTAAATGACTTTATTGTTTTTCGAAGTATTCTCCACGAAGATTAATACACATCTGCATGCGCTCGAACCAATATTCGAAGCACTTATTCCACTCGTTTGCTGGCAGACATTTTTGAATGCGTCAACTGTTTCTGGTGACTGGAACCTTTGACCACGCAGTCTGTTTTTAATTTTCGGGATAGTAAAGAAATCGTTAGGACTTAGATCGGGACTATATGGAGGATGGTCCAATAATTTCACATTTTCTTCCGTTTTTTGGGCTGTGTGCGAGCTTGCATTGTCTTAGTGGAGGATGATTCTTCTTACGGGGTTGATTTTTCGAAGTTCAGTGATGACTTTTGGCAAACAAATGGTGGTATACCAATCCGCAGTAACAGTTCTTTGCTCATTAAGGGTAATTGTTGCAATGACCCGCTTTTGATACAAATGTCGCGACCATCTTTTTCGAAACACCTTGGAACACCCAAACAGCCGACTGTCGTTTATTTTCTGGTTCATAACAGTAAATCCACGAGTCATCACCACTAACAATGCTGTACACATTTTTTGAGTTTTCGGAATTGAAACGGTGAAGCGTTTTTTGACACCAATTAACCCTGGCTGCTTTCTGCTCTTCAGTCCAACGAGAAACTATTTTTTTTCTAATTCTTCATGTAATTTTTTTTTAATTGAAGTCTTTGAGATCTTCAACGACGCCTCAATCTCGCGATATGTCACATGTCTATCTTCAATGATGAGTTTGCGCACAGCATCGACGTTTTCCTGGGTGACTGCCGTTTTTGGTGCACCCACCCTGGAGTCGTCGCTAAGACTCACCCGTCCACGTTTGAATTATACATACCAACGGGAAATTGTCGAATGATGTGGCGCTTCGTTGCCGAAAACAGACAGTAACTCAGCAAGGCATTCTTGTTGAGATAATTGTCTCTGAAAGTTGTAATAAATTATGGCGCGAAAATGTTCTCGGTTGCGTTCCATTTTTCTAATGACTCGGTGACACTTAAAAATTCACTGTACGTATTGTTGTGAAACTTTGAATTTAAGTTTACTAAAGAGTGAGGTTAAGATTCAGTACTGACGTTCGATGCGCGCGGCCTACTATGTTTCTATATGCAAAACTTAAAAGACATCGCTCGTATCCAGTGGAAAAAAATGTACATGTAATTTGCGCTAAAAGGTAGCCAAATAAAGGGGTATACTCCAAGTATAGACCTTTTCGACATTGACTAAAATTTGCCCTTTTGATTCCACCCGAGATGAAAAATGCCGTCAAGTAGGTTGACTGCACTTCCTACGCTACGGTAAGGCTGAGCAAGCAGTCTTATCAGCAAAAATAGACTAGATGCCGATTAAATTAAAAAACTGCTTTTATTTTTTTTTCAACTAACATTATTTATCATCTTTTTCATAACTTCCGGGCAACCAGTTATACAACTTTCTGCTTACGGTTGTCTGTGTCTCCTTTCCCCTATCTCGTTCTCGATCGTTCACTCCAAACAAGATCATCGAGATCCTGTAATGCCAGTCATTCGTAATGAACGAGTGAGTTTTTCAACGAATGATGAACTAGTTCACTTAGTTCAATCATAAGGATCGTTCGATTGAACTAGTTTGTTCACGAACTACGCACCACTATAGTCCAGCTCTGCACATTAAGAACTAGCTAGTACAATCATTCCTTTGTTCTACCAGTTCAAGGTTTATAACAACAAAATATGTGCAGTAGTTGTCGAACTCTTGACATTCAGCTCTGTCTTCATGGCTGCTTCGATACAAACGGTCATTGCAAAAATCTTATAAGACCCATAATTTGGATTTTTCAGGAGACAATAAAACCTGTGTCACTTACAAATAAACCAGTTTTAAGATCATTTTTTGGGTTTTATGTAGTATTTGAGTTCTAAAAAAAACTGAAATTTCGTATAACCACAGTATATTAATAATGATAATGGAAGACGCCCGAAAAACTTAAATTGTTTTAGCAGGAATTAAGTTTAGTGATACATAACTCAAGCAAAAGAATCATACTGATCATATTTTTCATTGCTTATTACACTGGACAACAAATTTTAGTTTCTTAATTGTATCTTGTGGAAAAAGTGCACTTCTTTGTCAATTTTGGGACGCTGAATCCAAAAATGACAATGAAATAAAAAAATTAGTTGCGGTTTAGAAAAAAAACCTTTTAATTTTTAAGGATATATTAAAAAAAGTAACAAGATTCATATACTTATAAGAATCACTATATGCGCTGTCTTTTTCCTGTTCTTTTATGGATCGTTTCTGAAGCATCTCTACCAAGAGTCCAACAGTAGTCTGTAAGCATGGAAGGATTCCACTTTCCCTAGTACCTTTGTTCCATTGTTGAAATATTCTGATGAAAACGTTCGCCGTGCTCTTACGGCTCCGCAATTGTCAGGAAAAAAGTCCAGGTGTGAGTGTAGGAAATGTATCTTAAGAGACATATTACAGCCCATCTTTTGATACGATGACAGCATATTTTTGACAAGGGTTTTATAGTTGTCAGCTTTTCTATTTCCCAAGAAATTAGTGACGACCAGACGGAAATCATTCCAAGCAGTTTTTTCAATACCTGTTAAAGTGTTTTCAAACTGTGTATCCTTCAAAATATTTCGAATCTGTGGCCCAACAAAAATACCTTCTTTAACCTTTGCCTCACTTAGTCTTGGAAATTTCTGACGCAGGTATTGAAAAGCTGACCCATCTCTATCTAATGCCTTGACAAAGTTTTTCATTAGGCCCAACTTGATATGCAGTGGTGGTAATAAAATTTTTTTCGAATCTACTAGTGGCATATGCTGTACATTTTTTTGACCTGGCTCTAGGAATTGACGAACAGGCCAGTTTCGTCTGGTGTAATAAAGTGCCTTTGCCCGACTGTCCCATTCACACAAAAAACAGCAAAACTTTGTATAGCCTAGCTGCAGCCCAAGTAAAAGTGCAACAACTTTCAAATCGCCACAAATATGCCATTGGTGCTCATCGTATTTTATGCATGTCAATAGGTACTTCATATTGTCATATTTTCATGTGAACTGCATACCCTACAGGAAGAGATGGTAAAATATTTCCAATATGCAATAACACTGCCTTTAAACTCAATGTTGAACTATATAAACAATCTCCATTCTTCTGGGTTATAGTTTATATTTAAAGCCGCCAGTAAGCCGTTAATGTTACTGCAGAAAACCAAGTTATTCTCCATATTGAAAAATGGTTCTAAGTCTTTGTGGCGTTTACGAAAAACACATACCGAAACATCGTCTTCTAACAAGTTCTACTGCTGCAGTCTTGATCCAAGTAACCCTGCCTTACATTTTGGAAGTTCTAAATCTCTTACAAGATCATTTGTTATTTTGTGCGGTTGGTGGCATGACGTGCTCGGTATAAAATCAGGATCTCTTGACGTTGATGGCATATCTTCTTCCTGACGAATCACTCGATCGCCATGATCTGATTCGTCTTCTGATTCGCAAGTGTAGGATTCTGGGGGTTTTGGAATAGGATTTTCGTCACTGTGAGGCACAGGTCTCATCGCAGATGGTATGTTTGGGTAGCTAATAACCGATTTTTTTCCTTGGACATACCTGTGGCTTGTCCAACACAAGGTACCATGCAAAAGTAACAATCATTAATATGATTTGTAGGCTCTCTCCAAACCATTGGGACAGCAAAGCGCATAGACCGTTTTTTGCCATTTAACCAGCTCCTCAGACTTGAAGCACATGTATTACAGATGTGGGGTGCCCACTGTTTGTCTTGATCACCTAGTTTACAACCGAAATAAAGCTGATGCTGACATGCCTTTGTTATTAGTGGAGTAATAGACCGTCTCTGAGACGCAAAAGTCACATCACCACACACGTAACAAATCTGATCTGGATTGTTTACACACTTTCGAGACATCTTGCATGAACGCTGTCAGCCAACTGAGGAAAAAATGGCTAATATAAAACAATATAATGTACACGTATGTATAACGTAACACAATCATGCCGATTACATCATCTTTTCTTGCCGAATATAAAAATGTAGCACGTGCATTCTTGTGAATTACATTATATTAAAACTGTCACAGCAGGAACACATATAATTACCGTATCTCTAAAACTTGAACTAATATTGAAAAAATAAGTTTCATTCCGGTTTTAGCACATTAAAAATAGTAATATTTTGTTGATTTTATTTAGGATATTTTTTGGCTGTTGATCAGTGATTGAAAATTACACTTAATCTTAATCGAATCTCCCGTTTTACATCCAAATCATTTACAGATCATAGTGAAAAAATTAATAGACATATGTTCAACTTTCTTCAATAATCGGCAATCAATAGGAACTACAACAGGCCTACGGAGGTAGTGTTTTGTCAAGAGCCCAGGTTTTCCAGTAGTATAAGACATTCATCTTGAAGAACCGATAAAAATATCGACAGAATCCGGGATCTTGTCCGTTCAGATCGTCGGCGGACATCAGAATGATCGGGGATGAGTTAAATTTGACTCCCATCAGCGTCCATCAGATCAAGAACTGGGCGTTGCAACACGATAATGGCCAGAAAGGCATTCCTGTCGCTCCTTCAGCCTCCTTATTCGCCGGACTTGAGTCCAAGTGACTTTTTTCTCTTTCCGAAGCTGAAAATTCACCTCAAGGGAACTCATTTTGGGACAGTCGAAAACATGAAAACGGCTGATAACCGACCAACTGAAGGCTATTCCGGAATCGGAGTTCAAGCGCGGGAATGAGGACTGGAAGAACCGTCTCCAGCGCTGTGTCGCTTCAGAAGGAAGTTATTTTGAAGGTGACTATATAAAATTGTCATTATATCTGAATTAAACAAAATCAGTCTCATCACTTAATTTACAAACCTCGTATTTACCGTACATTTAAAGATGAAGAGAGTTGAATTAATGCTTTTGGTATAAAACAAGAAAACTCTTAAACAAATATTATTTTTGGAGTTTTACCCAGAATAATTATCTACCTTTCAAAAAAAAAGGACGGTAAAAAATGGTCTCAAGTTATTTTTGGACTAACCGGTTCAATTAATGCTTCTATGAAAGATCACTGTTGTTGATCTTTTGAAACAAAACCCAAAATCAAAATATTAAATCGCACACAATCCGAATTCTTCTTACCACCAGAAGCCACCAACTCCAGCTGATCATAAAAATAGTTCATCAGACATCTCCTCGATAGAATTTCAGCGTGCATATCGTTCAGTGAAGCTCCGTTGATGCTGATATGTTCGCCAGACACGCATTTCGTGCCCGTTGTCACAGACAACACCTCGGCATTATTGACGTCTCCATCTTTAATCATCACTATGCCAGCGAGAACTTTCCTCTTCATGTGATCTAGGTCGTTACCCATTACCTCAAGGAACTTATCGTTCACCAATCTATAATTTTGAGATACTGCTATATAATAATAATATGAACTTGGATTGCTTATTGAAATAGTTTCTAAAACGTCCTATATTACTAAAAAAATTGGCGTAAAATAGGTTGACTCTGCACGTTCGACACAATGCAGTCATCAGTCCGAAGGATTATATTTCGTTCAAGTTCGCTACGAACATGTGTAACAAAAAAAAAATATTGATCAAGTGAGTCAATTAGCTCATAGTCCCCACCCAACATTTAGATCTAGAAATTTCTTTCCCGACCAACCGCCAGTAGCGTTACTAGATGGTCGATACGTAAGGCAGGGAAGAAACTAGCGTTAACTTTATCAAATGGATGGGGACGATGGAGTATGTACTAATTGTATATGGGCCAGTTTGGCTGACTTGACCCCTTTAAATTGTTTTGTTATGCAAGTTTGTAGATAGCTCAAAAGGGCTAATTTGGGCCGCATATGATCCTATATGACCTTATGTCAGCGTTGCGTGCGGAGTCTACCTACTTGGCGCCATTTTCCCATTTCCCGATATTCTAATGGAAGTTCACAAAACAATATTCCTAGAAAACGAAATAGAATTTGATTTCGTGATGAATGATAATGAATGCAAAACTGTATCCTAAATAAAACACGTGTTTCGTGAAAACGAAAAATTACTTGGTAATCGCGTCAGCTTTCTCAAAATCTTCCTTTTTGACATTTGGCACGGTATCGAATGTTCCACAAAATGGGTCAGACTGTTCAGGTGCTGAATAATTTATCAACTTCCTCAGTGCCATAGCAGCTGCTGCATTTTTCGCGAACTTTTTGTTGGCGCCTAAAAAACAAAATCATTTTCAATATTACAAACCTTCGTAAATGGTACCTTGAATGGCGAATAGATACTCTCGCAAAATTAGGCAACCAGAATTACACTATCATGTGTCGCAGCTTGCGAAGGTTCGAGAGCGATTGCGCTTATGTGCGTGAGCGCTTGCGGCGCTATCTGGGTTACGCCGAGATTCAAGAATAATCGAAACCCGCACAGCTATCATGTAAAAAACTCAATAAACTGTCAAAAAAACAACGAAATGTTATCTTGCAGACTGGGTAGTTTTTAGGGTGCAAATAGTTCATTCCACGTTTGCTCACTATGATCGCTGTGAGCGCCATCTATGGAGGAATGACTCAACGACACTACGTGCATTGTTGGTTGATGAAAGCCGAGTAGTCTGTAGAGTTATCTCTGAGAAAATTTGAAAGAAAGTTGGTTGAGAAGCAAGATCGCATCTGGATGATTATGTGTATTGGTCAACATGTGCATAAGATCAGTGATATTTGCTATGCAAAAAAAATATTGCAGAATATGCTGCCAATGAGGTAAATCTATTAGCTGTACCCAGCGAGTTCTGGAGCGCGGTTAATACCTTTTTGACGTTTCATAAATATTCCTGTCTGTAGTTACTTATGATATACTTCACCAACCAGGGATTGTCTTTTCTTATCTCTCTCATTTTTAAAATCCATATATATATATATATATATACTAAGTGACATATAAATCCGAACACCCAGTTTAAATGGCTTTATTTTAATAAAAGTTGGTGAATGTATTTATCTTACTGTAAATAACAAGTGAAAAAATTTTCAGCCTTATCAGTTGGACATTCCGGTTTTTGTACTGCTTTTTTTTAATTCACTAACACTCTAAAAATGAATATTTCAGCCGCAGTAAAGAATAAACGTTGGCGGATTTTGGTTCTTGACATCCTTTACGATCGGTTACGATGCCTAGAGTACGGAGACCTGTACGATTTCGTCAACTTAGTGAGTTTGATAGGGGCCGTATAGTGGGACTTCGGGAAGCTGGACTTTCTTTTCGGGCAATTGCAGTTAGAGTGCAAAGAAGTGTAGACACTGTGGTTAGGTGTTGTCAGGCATGGCTTCGAGAAGGCCGTACGCAAAGAGCAAGGGGCACTGGACGCCGCCGTAGAACAACAGACCGTGAAGATCGCCGCCTAAGATTATTGGCCTTAAGGGACCGTTTCTCCACTACCAGGTCCATTGCAAATGAATGGTTTGCAGAACACGGAAGACCTATTGGCATGCGAAGTGTTTACCGACGAATGAGAAGTTTTGGCTTGTTTTCATACCGGCCACACTGGGTCCTCCCTTTAACTCGAGAACACCGACGTAATCGCCTTGAGTGGTGCAGACAACGGTCACTCTGGGATCAGGAATGGAACAGTATTGTCTTTAGTGACGAGTCTCGATTTTGTTTAGGCATGCACGATGGTCGTGCCAGGGTTAGAAGGCGACGTGGTGAAAGGAGGAATCCACAGTTTTTTGTTGAAAGACATGTTCATCACACAGTTGGAGTTATGGTTTGGGGTGCTATAGCTTATGGTTCCAGGTCACCTTTAATCTTCATCAGAGGTAACATGAACGCGCAGCGTTATATCCACGAAGTTCTAGAACCCCATCTTTTACCTTATCTTGACACCCTGGCAGATCCAACTTTCCAACAAGATAATGCCCGACCACATGTTGCAAGAGTCACAATAGACTTCTTTCATCATAATGATGTCACATTGTTACCATGGCCACCAAGATCTCCCGACTTATCCCCAATTGAGCACGTGTGGGATATGATGGGTAGGAGATTGCTCTATTTGCAACGTCCTCCTCAGACTCTAGAAGCCCTTCGAGAGGAGTTGGTGGTTGCCTGGAATGAGATACCACAGGAGGACATTGACCACCTGATCAGAAGCATGCCTAGGCGCGTTGGAGAATGCGTAGCACATCAGGGTGCATCCACACATTATTAAAGGTCAAAGGGCTTTAAAGCAGTGCAATCATTTTGAAATTTTTATCATTTACTTATTATGCTTCATTAAGTACTTATACAAAATTTTATTAAAATAAAACCATTTAAACTGGGTGTTCGGATTTATATGTCACTTAGTATATATAAAGAGAAAATGATCATGTGGAATAAGGTATATAACAAAAAATAGGAAAATGATGGGCAAAATCCGTAAAAAGAAAGGAAAGTGGATTCGAGCAGAAAATAGGATAGGTAACCCGAGCAATACGTATTTCTGCATTCGTCATGATGAAGCCAACCAGCAGAAATACGTATCGCTCGGGTTACCTATCCTATTTTCTGCTCGAATCCACTTTCCTTTCTTTTTACGGATTTTGCCCATTATTTTCCTATTTTTTGTATATACCATTCTCCGCATATATATATATATATATATATATATAAAATGTCAAAAAACGACATAACGCCACTTTTCAAGATACGTACATAATACCCCTGCCTATCTGGATTAAATTTGATATAGAGATGGATTATAGTCTGGAATAGCACATAGACTACTTTTTTCCGGGAAATAACTTTGAAATATTAATTTCAACGCGCCGGGCAGAAATTTGAGTCGTATGAGGAGGTTATCGCCACCTCGAAGGCCCTCTTTACAGACCTCCAGAAAACGGGTTAAAGAATTTCCGTTTTTCATTTGTCGGCTAAGTGCTTCTCGGACCGCCCTCGTATAATATTTTACTATTCGAGTCGATTTTCGATTACCTGATCCAACAAACGTCTCACCACCAATTTTCACGGTAACCTGAAACCTTGCAAAAGGATCTGATTCATTGTTGGTGCAAGTCATCTCTGCATTTGGATACAGCTCATTCAACGTCATCAATGGACCTTTCTGTATGTTCCTGTTTTTGTTAGCTTTGGCGGCAGCGTTCTCAGGTTTGATGGGCATTTGGTCAGAGGTGAAGTCCATTTTCGTCAAACAGATTGTGTCATTATTAGTGACAATCATTCCGGGAATGGGAAACTGGATGAATGAGTTGAGGACTTGCATCGCAGCATCACTCTTTGCTGCTTTCTTGGAGTTTCCGACACCGTAGTATGTTTGACCATCAACGTCAACTTTTACCTTCAAAATTAATATCACATTGGTATCGATTAGGATTTATATTAGTCATAAATTAGGTTGAATTTCAAATACAAAGCTCGAACGGTTTTTAAAAAATCACAAGACTCAACAAAAAATTTATTGACGGATTCGGGTTCACAATGAAATAGCGTTTGTCACAATTAAGTGTGGAAAAAAAAATTTGATTATTCCTTAATATAATTTTATTTTTATTACTTTGGCAAGTAACCTTAAAAGTTGGCGCATTTAATAACGATTCCAAAATGGTATAACACTTAGAAGATTACTCGTTAACTTATGCACAATTTTTATTTGAAAAAAAACTGATGAAAATTTTTCAAAATTTCCTAATTAAACCGCGATTATGAAAACGCACAAGGACCCTTAAGGATAACTGTTTGCACAACAGTGGGCGTCAAAATGCCGCTGATGATGATTTACCTTTACAGCAAATGCTCAAACTGTTTTCCTTCAGCCGCAATACACGCTCGACATGTTCTTAAAAAAGATCGGGTTATTAAACGAGCGAATCCACGGTTATTAACAAACTCAGCTGCTTCCAATAGTCTTTGCCGTAGCTCAGCTACATTTTGAATCGGCTTGAAATACACTTTTTCTTTTACAGTTCCCCAGTAAAAAAATCTAAAGGATTCAAATCAGGTGATCGGGCTGGCCACGGTATTGTACCAGACCGCCTTATCCATCTGCCTGGAAAGTTTTGATCGAGATACTCTCTCACTGAGAGTGCATAGTGCGCTGGGCAGCCATCATGCTGAAACCACATGTCCCCGTAAATACTCAGTGGCACGTCCACCAATAAATTTTGTACATGATTTTTAAAAAAATCCAAATAAACTTCAGCAGTCAAAGTCTCTGGGAACTCAAACGGACCGATTATTTTACCATTTAAAATTCCTGTCCAATGGTTTATCTTGAAGCGATATTGAGATTTATCTTCTCTCATCAAATGTGGGTTTGCTACGTGCCACTCGTGTAAGTTATGCAGGTTCATGTACCCATCTTTCTTAAATGTGGTCTCATCCGACCATAAAATTTTTTCAAAGAACTGTGGATCTTTCCTTTGTCTTTCTAACATTGTGCGACAAAAAGCAACTCGGGGCTCATAATCCCGGGGCAGGAGAGGCTGAACACGCTGTATGTGGTATGGATGAAGCACATCACTTACTTGCTATTGCATACTTTGATACCGATCAGTACTCCTTCGTTTACTGCGCATCTTTACATGTTCGTGCTTGTTGATTTCGTACTGTTACTAATTTTGGAGTCGAGAATTGGACTGTTGATCGCTTGTGATTTGGATTTGGACTGTTTAATTGCTCTTCAAAACAACATTTGCTTTCCGTAGACTATCTTTGATAGTGTGATTGTGCAGTGCCGCTATGTCCGTGTACACCGTACAAAAATATGCTAACATGCACCTCATTTATGGGGAATGCAGATGCAACACTAGTGCTGCAGCGAGGCTTTACTGTGAGAGGTACCCGAATGCAGCTCGTCATCCAGATCATCGAGTGTTCACAAATGTGCACCGCTTACTGTTCTCAGAGGGCCAACTACCAAACCAATCACACGGTGAGGGAAGATCTTTCCTTCCTTACGAAGACGTGGTGCTAGGAGCTGTCGAAGAAGACCCGAGTACTTCAGTGCGTGCAATAGAACTAAAAACAGGTGTGCCCAAAAGTACAGCCCATTGAATCTTGCAAAAAAACGTGCTCCATCCATACCACGTACAGCGTGTTCAAGCTCTTCTGCCCCGGGATTATGAGCCCCGAGTTGCTTTTTGTCGCACAATGTTAGAAAGACACAGGGAAGATCCAAGGTTCTTTGAAAAAATTTATGGTCAGATGAGACCACATTTAAGAAAGATGGGTACATGAACCTGCATAACTTACACGAGTGGCACGTAGCAAACCCGCATTTGATGAGAGAAGATAAATCTCAATATCGCTTCAAGATAAACCATTGGACCGGAATTTTAAATGGTTAAATTACCGGTCCGTTTGAGTTCCCAGAGAGCTGAGGTTTATTTAGTTTTTTGCAAAATCATTTAGAAAATTTATTGGAGGACGTGCCACTGAGTATTTACAGGGACATGTGGTTTCAGCATTATGGCTGCCCAGCGCACTATGCACTCTCAGTGAGAGAGTATCTCGATCAAAACTTTCCAGGCAGATGGATAGGGCGGTCTGGTACAATACCGTGGCCAGCCGGGTCACCAGATTTGAATCCGTTAGATTTTTTTTACTGGGGAACTGTAAAAGAAAAAGTGTATTTCAAGCCGATTCAAAATGGAGCTGAGCTACGGCAAAGACTATTGGAAGCAGCTGAGTTTGTTAATAACCGTGAATTCGCTCGTTTAATAACCCGATCTTTTTTAAGAAGATGTCGAGCGTGTATTGCGGCTGAAGGAAAACAGTTTGAGCATTTGCTGTAAAGGAAAATCATCATCAGCAGCATTTTGACGCCCACTGTTGTGCAAACAGTTATCCTTAAGGGTCCTTGTGCGTTTTCATAATCGCTGTTTAATTAGGAAATTTTGAAAAAATTTCATCAGTTTTTCTTCAAATAAAAATTGTGCATAAGTTAACAAGTAATCTTCTAAGTGTTATACCATTTTGGAATCCTTATTAAATGCGCCAACTTTTAAGGTTACTTGCCAAACTCTCGTAGTACATTTTTTTCCAGTACAGCCAGTTAAAGTTGAGCAAAGTTTTACTTTGGAATACTTGGTTGGGAAATAAGTGGCAATTTTTCCTGAACGAGAAAAGTTGGCAGTAAGGTTGAGACACCAGTTTGAAGATGCATTATTCATCATTACATTGTAAAAATAAAATCCAAAAAAAGTTAATATTTGTAGTAACAGGAGTTGACAGACTGCTGTAGGGTGTGAAATTTCTATATTTCTTTCAAAGACCTATAATTTTCAAAACACATACATAAAATTTTTTTAAATATTTTTCTGATAGCTGTTATGACTTTGCCTATCACCCGGTTTCGGCTTGACGTCGACTTCTGGGACACCCTGTATATATATATATATATATATATATATATATATATGTGACAAATAATTTTAATAAATAAAAAAAATATAAATAAAATAAAATTTGTAAATTGCAAGTAACTGTTATTAGTATTATAGCAGAAAATCGAATAAGAAATACTTCAAAATATAACGGATATAAATCCAGCGGTTTAGAGGGCCTTGAAAATTTGCGGGTTCATTAATGTGTGGTAATGTGCCTGAAATATTTTTTTCTATAAAACCATAGTAAAATAAAGGAGTAGTATGCTGTTTTCAAAGGTTTCAAAAAAACTTTGACAACCTATACCTTGAAGACAAAACATATCTTTGTTTATATAACTCATCAGTATTTACTGATCTGTGTGTGTTAGTGCATTTCTATGTAATTATATACATCAATAAATACCGAAGGCTTATCTATGCTACAAATTCAAACAATATCATGTTTGATGATAAATATTAATGAATCATATTGAATACTCAATATGACGCATTTGGCTAATCACCTCTCAGGGCTTGGCCAAGTAACACCCTATATACAGGACATTTCAGAAAAATGTGGCAATATTTCTAGGGCAGAAAGTACATCCAGAAATAACAAAAAAAGATACTAATTTCCAAGCCATTGACAAAACATGATCACTATGGTATGTTCGGACATACAACTTTAAATATTAAACTTCACAACCATTCACATGTTCTTAAAGTTGGGGTTGTTTTTTATACAGATAATACCTTAACATAACATCCAAGAAACATAATATCTCATTTTATAAAATGTTCTCGGTTACTATACGTCTTTTTTCTTCTTTAGGAGCCGTAATTTTCCAATTTCTATGCCAAGGCAGTCTCTGGCACAAACCCTTTTGAATGTATGTATGTATTTTGCATTGTATCATTTTTTTCAATTTTACCTCTGTACCTTCATGTTATTTTTTGATCTACTTAATGCCCTAGAAATACAGCAACATTTTTTCTATATGGGATACAAAATCTGGTGAAATGAATACAAACCTTGAAAGTGGGGTTGTGCGAAGGGCCAGACTGCTGAATTATATCATATTTTAAACCAAATTTTATTTCATTTAAGACAGATATAGGATTCTTTTCAGATATATTTATCTGCCTCATCTCTGTTTTAAGTTTCTTGGAGGGATGGGAAGTGTCGGCTGTAACAAAATAAGCATATTTTTCAAACTTGACAATATTGTTTGTGTGATATTACTAACTCAATGAAAATATTTATGATGTGCAGAAATGGAGTAATATAAACTTAGCAATGATTGATCTACTGCGAGGTACTTTTTTCAAAGTCATAAAAAAAGAATCAACTGTTTGGGTTATATTTATTATAAAAAACAAGCATCCCTGAGAATAGTTTTTTGAACCAAAATTTTGCAGAATGCACTACATTAACTGCAGTAACAGATAATATTTTAAAGAAATAATCTTCAAAAACTAAATGTCAAGAATACTTCTTTCTTAATGAGGTAATTTTCTATCCTATGTGACAAAGCATAAATAGGATCTTAAATTACTTCTAGCTTTCAGGTTCTGATTTTCAATATCATCTATATTTTTGAGGAAAACTTTCTATGTGTTAAATGCATAAGAGACTATCTTTATTAGACTCAATCACCTTCATGTGCAGGCATAATAAAAATATTTAATAATCATAGCAAAACAACAATAAACTAGGTTTTAGAAAGCACTTTTTTTTTGTTGTCAAAAACAGTCTATTTTTATAAACGGAATATTAGGATAGATCGACAACATCACTTGTTTTGTGTTGTTATTTGACATCAAGGTATTGCAAAAAAAATCACATATACAAAGTGCTCCATCTAAGATTTTTGTTTTGTGCCGAATTACATATTACACTGTCCTGTACACCAACAATAGGTAACACATAAATACAAGGTTATATTAAGTGTACCATCACAAGTTCTATATACACTGAAGACATAAAGTTTATATTATATCTAATTACTTAGAAACATGAGAACCTTTTAAATGACTAATAAGGTGCATGAACATGACACTTTATTTTTTCTACCTTAAGTTTAAGGTTTGCATGAATCCAGAATTACACATACTGGGTAAACTGTGATTACTTCTATTTGAAAATACATAAGATTACAGGCTTTTGAGCAAAACATGAAGTCAGCAAAGCCTACATCACCAAACTATAATTTCTATGTAGACATTGCATTTATGTACAAGATGGTGTGAATGAAAGATTGCAGTGTGTTATGAAGACCACCTTACCTCCTTCGCTGGCACGCTTTCCATTGCTACGCCTAAAATCATCTGCATTCATTTCCATTACCTCAGCCATCAACACGATGTAAAAATACAGACAAAAGCACTATTTTATTACTAGTTTTCACTTATCCGCGGTACCTCCAGGAAACTCTTAATACGTAAAAATGAAAATGTTTTATGAAAATATTAAATTATGCAGCGGCACTGCACCAAATAACCACAATTCAAACAAATACACACACACACCAAAATGTCAATTAGGCGACAGTCGATAAAATGGACCTTGACAGGTGTTCATCTTGACATCTGTCGAAAAAAAACGGGATACGTGATGGGCGTGCAAAGAGTTCCGACATCGGATCATGGAAGATTCACAAGGCAAATACCCGTTCCGACAAGTTGTGTCCAGAAACGATTTGCCTAAAGGATCTCCCAAACTAACGCGGAAAATTCGCAATTTATCTGCGTATTTATCGGCACGGAAACTTATTTCGCAATCAGAAGCGTTTTTGTCGGATTTGCAGTAATTTCGCAGCGTTATAAAGAATAGTAAAGTACATCTAAATGAAGCAGATTGTTGGATTATTTCGAGAGTTCCCTATATTTTATGGCCTTGCCTTGTCGCAAGAAGGATAAGGTTGGGACTAAAATAGGAGAAGAAGTAGGCGAAAAAGGTGAAGTTGAAACTCATTACATTATTTATTTACGAAAATAATAATCTTGAATTAAAAAAAAAAGAAATTTTCCTCGTCTTTCTCCTTTAGCACTAGCATCTTTCAATACCTTTTTGATGAAAAAATAAACGTAAATGATGCGATTATATTCGCTTTGGTGTGAGGCTTCATCCGGAATCCGCCATGAAATTCGCTGTGGATTCTCCGTCACCAATCCGTTGCAAATAATTCGCATTGGTCTGGGGGAGCCTTAAGTAGGCGATCCCTAAACAGGCAGCTTGAAAAGCAGTAGAAATGTAGTGAAGTAAAATTAAAATATAGATTGCCAGTTAGACATTGACCTCATATTCAGACAGTGTGAACCTAAAAAGAACTAAAGCGGATTTTTGTTTTTGCTTTCATTTTGAATGAGCAGTTACGATTAAAGCTTGTGCACACTTTTATAGACCATCCGCGGGGCGCATTAAGTATCTTGAAAAGTAACGGTTTTTCATTTGTTTTTCTTACATACACGTTTTTTAAGTAATAACCCTGCTGTACTAGGATATACCCCTATTTCACGAGTATCCATTATGGTGGAATGACAGCTGATTATCTGGTAATGTCTCAAAATTTCCCATATCGGCACAGGATCCGTCAACGCCAGGTAGTCAGATTTGTATTCGTTTTGTTTTTTGTACGCTAGAGTTTCATTTTGTACTTGCCAGCAGGTCTTTAGAAAAGTTCATTTACATACAAAACACAAAACGCCATAAACAAGTTTTAATAGATTTATACCCCATTAATTATTGCCAACGTTGCAGACTAACACAAAAATACAACTTGCTGATCATCTCAGTAGACGTCAAAGCGTGATGGATACTCGTGAAATATGGTATTTATATATCACAGCACACCTGCCACAATAGTTAACCATACCCTCAAACATCTTGTCATAATCCCGAAGTGACATCACTGGTAGGACTTAGAAAGTTATAATAGGCTACAATACGTAATCGTATACGTTGATTTATTGCGCCTAACTAAAATATAAATGCAAAAATATCTGCCATATCTTACCTAGCGCTAAACAAGTATCATTTTGCACCGTACAGCCATTGAGAGCGTTTAATGCAGCCGAAGCAGCATTCTTTTTAGCTTCATTCTTCGTTTGACCAACGCCGCAGTATGTTTGGCCACGAAAATCTACTTGTACCTAAAATAAAAACGATACCGAAACTATCTTCGTTTACAAGGTATTAATAGTCATATATATAACATTTTTTATCCTGGTTGCGATAGTAAAGTGTACTTTATGAAAATGTTTTGCGGGCGTTAAGTCTCATTTTTCCGCCCAGGCATTCTCACTATATGTGGATTAATATATCATGTCGATTTATTTATTTTTAATAAGTTTACTTCATAGCTAGTATCATTAGTCGCTCGTTGATAACATGTATGTAGATACATAAATTATCATTAACCTTGAAAGTTGGACGGTGTGGAGGCCCAAAATGCTCAAGTACTCTATACTCGAGGCCATTCTGTATGTCATTCAGAACTGATATTGGATTCCTTTCGAGATCTATTGTTTGTTGTACGTCTGTTATTTTTGCGATTGACCAATCTTCTGCAAAAAGTTATGCTTTATAGCTAACCGTCATTTTATATTCATATACACAAACCATTTTGTTGATTTGACTTTAGATTCCTTTCAATGTAATCTATTTGTCGCATGTCTGTTATACGTTCGACTGCCGGTTCATCTGTAAAAAATATATGTTGTATAGCTACCGCATATCATATATTTATACGAGGTCTGTAAATTAAGTGATGAGACTGGCAACGTAGCCTTCGATCTGGCAATACTGGAGGCGCTGATATTCGAGGGGAGACAGGGGAACATGTACATGTGATCCGCCTTCAGATGAGGCTTAATTACACACAACGCGACCGCGGTGGTGATTTCCTGTAATGCTTGTAAAAGTTTTTGAAAACGCAAAAAGCTTGGGAGAATCGTAAGTTATAACTTTGAACATAGCCTTTCTTTAGAAAGGACAACGCAAATAACCCTTCTCGTACAGCTGATAGATAAACCTCATGGACAGGATATTCAGTAATAATTTTCTCACATAGCAAATATCACTGATTTATACACATCAATCAGCACACAATCATCCAGATGCGATCTTGCTACTTGCTATCAATTTCCTTTCTGTCACGTCCCCTAAGAGATATACTCTACAGACTATCTCGGCATTCTGCAACCAACAAAGCATGCTGGCGAACTGACTTGCAGCATGGTCGTTACGTCGTTCCTCGATAGGTGGCGCTATACTTACTTATTAGTTTCTGTAACGCAAATATAAAACCTTCGCAGAGGAGTAATAAAGCTCGGGACATGAGAGTAGCTAACGAAAAATCTATACATTTTCGCTGCAAATAATACAAAAAATAACGTTGCTTACCAAAATGCCTTAAAATAAATAATACTTATTGCGCGTCATGGACTTTTGCTAGTTAAAATATAAATGCAAAGATATCTACCATCTCACCTGGCGCTAAGTACGTATCATTTTCCACAATACAGCAATTGAGAGCGTCTAATGCAGACAAGGCAGCTTTCTTTTTAGCTTCATTCTTCGTTTGGCCAACGCCGCAGTACGACCGGCCACGAAAATCTACTTGTACCTTAAAATAAATATAACACCTTCCATTTACAGTAAATTGTATTTCATGAATAGGTTTTCGTGGCGTACAACTTGTCAGCTCAGTGATTCCTCCAAGCTAAAATTAACCTATTCTTATGTATTTACTGTTAGACAATTGCATAACCATCGGTGCTGCAATAGTTTAATCAGCTCGTCAATTTTTCATTTTACTTCGTTGCTAACGTCAATAGTCGATCGTAGATAAAATGTATTTCGGACGCAATAAGCGCTTATGCTCCTTTGCATGTTAGAACTTGCTGCGCTTCATGCATTCATAGATGCACTATTTATGACCTAGATACATAAATAACTATTGACCACGAAGACTAGAGATTGGAGAGGTTAAACTATAGCTTAGAGCCGTTTTACACACAAGAGAATTACTCCGAAAATTATGGTCATAATTATGCCGAAAATGTTTGCTGTCGTATTACACGTAAAAGAATTCTTGTGAAAATTTTCATGGTAAAAATATAAAACCCGTTCTATAGAATATGCGCGAGAATCGGCGCAGAGGGTTATTTCCGTGCATGTCAATATCAAAGTCAACAACATAACCTCACTTAACATTTGTGGGTGTGGTCCTGTTCGAGTCGTACGAAGGAGCGTTTATGGTTATTGTTTATTCATAATGTCGTGGAATCGGGAAGAAGCGAAGAAGTTGCACTGTTGTTGGAGGAGTACCAAAAATGGCCAAACCTGTCCAAGGTGAAGTCACCCAATTACAAAAACAGAAATTTGCGGCATCAGGCGCTGGATGCGATAGTCGAAGCATTGAGAAGTTTTATAATATTAACCAAAATCTCGATTTCAAAAATAAATTTAAATCGACGTCTGCTGTCTTTCCGATTATATTGGACGTCATACCCCTTAAGGTTATGTCCATTCGAAAATATTACTCTAATGCGCAGGCGTATCATATGAATTACACCGAAATTTTGTTTGCTTGTGTCATACAGGTTGTAGAGAAAATCTTCAATATTTTTTCCATGCAAATTTTCGGCATAATTATGACCATAATTTTCGGAGTAATTCTCTTGTGTGTAAAACAGGTCTTATTAGATAACAATCAGCTACGAAACTCGCTTGTCATTTTCAAACATGGCCATTTCGGTAGAGTGTAAATTCCCCCAGTACAACGGAAGATGTTTTCCAGCGGCCGCAAATATTATTATGCAATCGTAAAGAGATAATATTTCGTTAAGATCTAGAGTAGTTTATGTGGATCAAATCAAAGCGACGAAATTGCGGCCGTTTTTGACACTGACAGGAGAGTTTCACAGCTGATTGTAATCCAGTCAACATAACCTGCCGCAATATTTATGTTTACCTCATGGTTTATTAATATAATCCAATATTTTTGCTTGCAACTCGTCAGAGCTGTCAAAATTGAAGTTGTTAACAGTCATGATGACAGCATCAGAGAGAGATGCTAGATGCGGAGAAGCTGAAATTCGTTTCCTGCGCAGTGTACTAACTTACGTCATCGTCGATACTTTTGGCTTAACCCTAACGCCCTATCTCGTGTGTTCGTGTTAATGACCTCTGTGTTATTACCTTGAAAGTTGGACGGTGTGGAGGACCGAAATACTCAACTACCCTATACTCGAGGCCATTTTGGATATCATTCAGAACTGATATTGGATTCCTTTCAATGCCATTTGTTTGTTGCATGTCTGTTATTGTTGCGATTGCCCGTTCCTCTGCAAAAAATAATGCTTTATAGCTAGCCGCTTATCATATGAACCAAAGAACAAACCCTTTTGCTGAGCTTTTTTCCAAGTGTGTGCGTCATCCACCGCTTGCTTGGCCGCATCAAACTTTGCTTCTTTCTTTGTTCTTCCAACTCCATAATATATGTGATCAGAAACTTGCAGTTTCACCTTAAATTGTAAATTGGAATGTTGTCAGTAGATATTGTTGTTCCTTTGGAGCCCGTATGAATTTCTATCAGGGAACTTTCTAATATGCTCACCTTAAAAGTTGGAATGTGGTCGAGACCCCAACGAGCAACTAATTTATACTCAACATCGCCATTTCTGAGCTCATTCAGAACTGATACGGGGTTACGTCCAATACCATTTATTAGCTGCATGTTTGTTTTCGCAATCAGCGAATCATCTGAAACATAATACTGTAACATTCACGCTTACCACATATTCACATGAAGGGCAAACCATACTGATCGATGTCCCTTCTGATCATTTGATTATTAACAGGCTGCGTGGCTGCTTCAAACTTTTCCTCTTCCTCTGAATCCCAAAAAATATTACCCACGAGATCAGATACCTGCAAACCTATCTTAAATAATACTTTATATACACTCAGTCAAGGGCGGCGCCAGCCAAGTGCCCAGGGGGAGCAGTCCCATAGGATGAATGAGAAATGCATAAATTGTAGGTAAAGGATGTTGTGGCGACAACGTCAACGTTTTATCTTTGTTTTTGTTTACCTTTGTAACAATGTTATCTCTTAGTTTTGTGGAGAAAGAAGTTTCTGAGAGCATAGTACAGGTATTTTTAGTTTTTGCCCTTTCATTTACTATACCGTTGGATATAATCCTATAGAACAAAGGAAGTTTTAACTGATAATTACATACCATATATTCATGATTGAACAAACCATTTAAGTAGATCCTCTTAGTTTTTTCCGCTTGTATGGCTTGCAATGCTGCTGCAAGCTTTGCTGCTTTCTTTGCATTACCAACTCCATAATAAGAGTCGGTAAAAACTTCCACTTTCACCTTAAAATAAGGTGGTAACATTACTTGAGAGTTTGAAAAATGCACAAGTACACAGAACTTTAATGTAAAGACCGTGCGCTTAAAGTTAGTACGATCTATGAGGGTAGTCTGAATAGTTTCCGAGCTCAACCTGAAGATGGCAGCACTCGTAAATAGAAGCTAGTGATTTTCGATGTTCATTGCGCTAGGAGGTCAGAGATTTTCGCCAAATGAAACGGCGAGTACTATTTGGGCGGGTAACAGAGATGGGAGCATCGCTGCGAGAAGCGTGTAGAGTTACAAGGTGACTATGTTGAAAAATAAAAAAAAATCAGAAAAAATGTCTTGTATGTTTGTTAGGTCGGAAATTTTACAGGCCACCCTCGTATATTGCAGTCATTGAAAATTGGATATCTGAGATTTTTGCTGCTATCTGAAACCGCAGACGACACTTCAGTGATGTCATATCGTATTCCGTGCATGTATGGGCATTTCAAATAAAAATTTCGTTCCACATTCGACCCTTCATTATTGGAAAATCCTTGTCGTCGTGAGTTGCGTGAGTTCGAATCCCGTCGCAAGAGAATTTTGCTATTAGTGGAGTGCCGTAAGGCAAAAATATCAAAAACTCGGTACCCGTTTGCCACTAAATGGACTTCTGTTAAACATTTTCGATTGCATTGTTAAAATCTTAAATGAAAAAGATTTCCCATCCAAATTGCACGCTCTCCATTATAACAATTTCAACAACAATTAACGGAAATTTGAAAAAATATGAAGTAAAACACGATGACGCAGAAAACAGTGGTAACATTTCAAGGGCATAAAGTAGATCAACTTACCCCCTCCTCTCTCCCCTGTATCCCCCATATAGCCCCACTCTACCCAAGGTTAATTGAGCCTTTCGCATTCATGGTGGCTCAAGAATTAAAAAAAAGATAATAAATCGCGGCAAGCGTATTCTAAAAGATTAACATGATTTATCTAGCTAACTTACTGTAAACGTTGGTAGATGTGGTGGGCCAGTTTGATCAACAACTGTGTACACTGCTCTACCATTTGTCACTTCGTTTAGTACTGATATAGGATTTTTCTCAGTCATATTCAGTGGTATTAATTTCTTATTTGCACATAAGTTGTTGAAGTTTCTATAAAAATTACAAAGTTGAATTTCAGATGAAAATTAAACTGTTCTCCTGCATGTTCTCCATTTCCATCTTACACACGACCATTCTATTTCACTAAATAGAAAATGGAGGAATCCTCATAAGTGTCCACAAAGAACGGTTAGTAATCATGCATTTCTTTCTCTATATTCCCAATATCAAGTCGCTTTGGCGCAAACAATTAGGAAGTTTCCTATAGTCGAAAATACTGCCTGTGTTACTGGCATCTGATAATATAACTAGTATCTTTGACAAATCAGAAAGAATTATTCCAATAACTTTAAATTTAAGGAAGTTATGGCATTTTCTGTGTTGGCTGCTGTAGCCGATCGGACTCGCGCGTCGAGGTTCGGAGTGACGTCACATGACGGAACGTCGCACGTCGTAGTGAAGCGGTCTGACGACACGACTGCATATCGCATACATCCTTAGCGCTCAAGCTGACAAGACGTAATTTATTGTTTGAATCTTGGCGTAGACTGTTGTATGGCAGTATATAATAATTAAAATGGAAAAAGGTTTTTTAAGTGACGATTCCACAAATCTTTTGAAGGTGGACAATCCACTTTATGTCAGTATGGAAATATGTAAGTAAGTCAATAGTATGATTTATTCTATACAACTCTGATAACATGAACCTATTTTTTCAACCCTTTGCCTGCGACTATACCATACTGTCGACTTCAAATAATTTAGGATGACTCCAGCGAATACGTTTGATAAATTAATGGTAAATTAAAAAAAAATAATGTTCAGCTGTCAAGAGTACGAAATTGATGGTATGATATCGCAAAAACCGCAATTCGAAAAGTAAATAGTGAATACGTCTGTGTCTGCCTGTGTTGCGCTCGCAGGAATTTTTTTTAGCGTGATTTTTTAAAATAATGTCATCTTTGAATTCAATGAATGAAGTTCGTTTTATACTTTTGTTAAATTTCAAGAATACTTTTAGGTTAATATAACCATTTTTGTTATTACTTTGGATTAGAAATATAAATGTTATTTTAGTAAATGTTCAAGATTAATAATAATATATTTTTTATACTCCTTAATCTTTATAATAAACAACAATAAAATAGCTAGAAAAACAATCTTTAACAAAAAAAAACATAATAGCAGAACTAATATTTTTCATCCTATAGTTAAAATCCACATTTTGTGATCCGCAGTATCCAATACAAAAGATCGGATACATTCATTTCAATCATCGGATACTTAAAAATGTCCAAGTTGCACATCACTAGCATACCGCGGGATTTGGATCTGGCTACCGCGACGAGACCAATGAACTGTCAATACTCAGTGTTGACAGTTCATTGGACGAGACGCGCTGACCGCTGACATGACATACCACTCACCATTGGAATTTAACAAAGTTTAAAGATACTCTCTATGAAATGAATTCAAACTTTCATATTTATAATTCTCTCATTTATCATGTCACTAAAAATCGTGGGTTGTTTGCACATTGACATATTCAAAATTGTGCATGGTTTACTTGTTTGTAACAAAAAAATCAGCGACAATCATACAAAAACAATCACATGTAGCTCTTTAGGGTTAGCAGACCCGAGAGATCAAACATATGATAAGTAGCGAGATTTTATTTTGAGATTAACTTACCAACGATAGGATGTAAAGTCCCTAAATTAACAACCTACGATACTATATCCAAAACAAAGATAAACATAAACATTAAACAAGAATCCGGTAACTTGAATCCCACAAACATTTTTTCTAGTGTAGACAAGCAGACTAGAGATGTTCATCACAAAATGTTCATGGTTCGTTCTGAATCCAGACGTGTGTTTCGCTACGGATAGTCTTCTAGAGTCTAGTAGAGTATATTTCAATAGTTATCTTGCGTGGCCATGTTATCTTTACTCGGGCTAAGGATTTTTGATTTTAACGTAGACATTAGATCCTATGTCCCATCCTTAAACCGCTCCCACATGTTGTGGCGAATACCTTACAACGTTGGACACATGGCCATTCGCCACATCGTGTGGGAGAGGGCTGACGGATTGCATGTGTCCAACGTTCGCCACATGGCACGTTCAGGCTCTAAATTTGACCCGCGTCAAAGGACCTTACAACGTTGGAAGCATGGTTCGTTACGCTCCCACACGAGATGTCATTGTTTGATGGTTTTAGGTTAGATCCAGTAGCGGCGACAATCATTATTTATTTGTTTGTTGTGATTGTGGTGAAGTAGTAGTATGTAGGAAGTATGTTGAATTGAATACTTGCCTATTAATAATAATGTATGTTCCGTAACTAACTTTTGAGGAGAATGGATTAAATTAGTATACGTATTATACTCGTACATAACAACACTTTTTCATATTGCTAATATTTTGTACGTTTCGCAGGTGAGTTATGGCTGGCCTAAGGATATGTATGTTAGTAAATTATAAATTATCAAGTGCTTACAGTTGTTTTATTATAATGTCCTGTTGCAATGCAAGACTAGTTGAGAAATATATTGACTTCCATTTCATAACTAATGGAAAAGATTAAATAAATTATAACTCTGAATGTGCTATCAGGATTTTGATGAGATTATGACCCTAGGTTACTACTATGAAAATGTCGAAATAGCTATGTAGTTTTTGAAAAATGGTACAGTTGCGATGGAGCTATCGACGAAAAACAAACCAAAAAAAGTCAAACTTCGTTTTTCGACATTTTTGAGGCTTCTGTCAGTCCTAAGTTTTGGTCGGTGAGGACAGACCTGAAATTATTTTTCGACGCTCGAAAAAATTGTTTCCTCGTTTATTTTGTATAATTTGTCCTTAATTGTAAAAGATCAAGCGCGACATTGACACCGATACTAGACGTTGGCACCACCATGCGTCGAACGTCCGAGACTAAAAAGTTCATCCCATCGTGTAGGAGACACACTTACCAATTGTGGGTTGTTGAACGTTGTAAGCAATGCTGGAAGCATCGTGTGGGACCCGCATTAGCAGATTCACAATGACAGTTGTAACCATAAAACATGTTACGTTTGGCAAGTTCTTGACACTGACAGTTCCTCTCCACGGAAGCGTTTTTGAAGAGAAGCGTGTTTGTCTGCGTAAGCGTCTGCCCGGTCAGCCCCACCTATTTACATTCTGATCGAGTGAAAACCGTTATACGCCGCTCCCCCGTCATTTCTTAAAATAGTTTTGTAACCTCATATACATTTTGCCGCTCAGTCAGTTCCTCAGAATTTGCTGTAGTCTCGGCGCGAACCGGCGTAGCTCTTGCTAAAACTCTTATCTCTAACCGGTGTTCGTGTATTGTGTTCGGTTTCGTTTCTACGGGACTACCGCGAAATGGCATCTAAAACCAAGAAAAGTTCCACTCCGGCGGGTTCCCATCAGAGGCCCGCCAGCCCTCTGAGTCCCACGCGGCACTCCAGATTGCAAGAAAAACAGGATTTACAGAACCTCAATGACCGGCTTGCATGCTATATCGACAAAGTGCGCTATCTGGAAGCCGAAAACAACAAACTTACCAGGGAAATCCAGAGCACACAAGAAACTGTGACTAGGGAAGTATCCAACATCAAAGCTATGTACGATCATGAGCTTTCAGATGCTAGAAAGTTGCTAGATGAGACTCATCGCGAGAAAGCGCGTTTAGAGATCGACGTTAAGCGTCTTCTTGATGAGAACGACGAGCTGAAAAATGAGCTAGCCAAGAAAAGCAAAGATTTGGTTCTGGCTGAAAACTCCGCCAGGATATACGAGACAAGATGTAATGAGTTGCAACTGAAAGCAAACCAAGCTACCGCTGATGCTAAAAAAGCACAAGCAGATCTCAGGGAGCTCGAGAAAGAAAGAGACAAGCTGAAGAAGCTGCTTGATGAACATCGTAAACAGTTGGAGGAGGAGTCTTTGGCTAGGGTCGAAGTTGAGAACTCTAACCAGAGTCTCAGAGAAGAGCTGTCCTTCAAAGACCAGGTAAGCAGGCATTGTAATTTGTATAAGGTCCAATTACCCAATAGTTGCTGCTCAGCAATAAGGATTATTATTCACCACCACACACATCACAGATATTTTTGTTTTAAGATTTATTTAGCATGATTGCTACAATTACATTCTTCTAAAAAACTAAACAATTACATAACATACAGATATTCAAAGAAAAAACAAAATTTGCATCTCTAAGAATTTTCATTGTCCATGAAATATTCTTTTAATTTTCTTTTAAATATCTTTGAATTACAAGTAGACTTTATATCATTATTTAGTTTATTAAATTCAAGTAATCCTTTCCGAAATATTGATTTTTTTTTAAATAATTTATTTAAACACAATAATACAAAATGTATAACCAGTTTTAACAATAATTCCCCAATCACTGCTTGCAAACACTGGCCCTGAGAATAACAACAATAATCAATATCTATGGTAGTTATATTACTACTGCAATTTTGTAAATGAAAATCTATATTTCCTCTCTAGTATTCTAAACATTCTGGCAAAAGATGATTTTTTATTTTAAATATAAAAATAAAAACCAAATTTTTTATATTCAACCACTGCAATTCTTTTAACGTAGATTTTATTTTGGTGTACTTATTTTTATTCAATATTACTCTCATAGCTTTATTTTGCCAGACTTGTAATTTTGAGTACACGGCTTCATTGGCAGTGAACTAGATAGTAGAACAATATAGTAAATATGGTAGAATAATTGTGTTATAAACTATTTTCTTGAAATAGGTACCCAGTCTATGAGAAGCCCTATAAAAGTAATTTGTTTTTTGGCAATTTTTGAAATAATGTATTCATAGTGATCCTCAAACTTTAGTTTACTATCAATATATATACCTAAATATTTAATTGATTCAACATTTTCAATTATTGCTCCATTTATACTAACTGTGATAGTACTTTCATTTAGGTATTTCCCTATTAGCATACATTTTGTTTTGGAAGTATTCAATTTTAGTTTATTTACTATACCCCTCTTGATTTACCTAGTATGTAACTCTATCCATTCACTGTATATTTTCTACAAATGGACATTAAGTAATAGGTGTAGTGATAGTAGTGGGGAGGCAGAGCCTCACAATTAGACCATCTTTGACCCTTTTTGCTGACTCCATCATACCAACACTCCACTATTCCATATGCTTAAGTACTGGTAACCCATTATTCAGTAAACCAGCTGCAGGACATTTGACCTTGCTCTAGTTTTCAAAGGGGCTGTGATAAGTGATGCATTCAATCTTATTGAATGAATACTTTTTGATTGCGCGGTACTTCTGAATCTGTTTCATACTTTGGTTATCCCCAAACAAACACAAGTATGCAAAAAATGTTCTGGATTTCACTGATTTAAATTGAGACTTATTATGCTCCCTCGGGAGTATCCAATTGGATATTTGACATCCATATTCTTGGAAGCCTTTAACCCCCAATAAAAGAAAGCCCTTTATTATGAGTCTCAAAAATGTATGGCAGATCCAAATTCGTTCCCTATTATTCTGCTATATGTAGATCCCTCTTGCACATTAAAACATGCCATTTATACCCAAATCCACAAATTTTCTGTTAATTTTACTTGAATGATGCCCATGTGTGTTGCACACATGTCACAGTCGTGTCGTTTACAATGTATGCAACATTTACAAGTAACATGTTTATAATGTCAATAACAGTAGTCACTGTATTTTGCATTAGCATTTCCATTGAACGACCTGAAGAATTCTTTTACTTCAGGTGTAATATCTAAAAATATTGATGATCTCATCCACCTAAACTGTTGGTAAGCAGGGGGACAAACTCCCTCCATTGATTAAATATAAAACATTGACATAAAACCAGTATACATTTACATAAATAGTTCCAGATCATAGGCTTACACAAAAAATGCTAAGGGGATTTTACAAACAGGGATCTTTCCATAAGGAGTAATATTTTTTTCTTGTATTACTTGAGTGCCGTATCATGAAAATGTACAGTTGCAAGTTCATCTTGAAGATAGTCAGGGCCATCTTATTCAGACTTTTTGGCTGGATCCTTGGGCATGGAACCTGTGTGGCCATAGGGTAAAGACAGAATAGGAGATAAAATCAGTATAGAAAATATATTAATCAAATCTATCACTGAAATGTATCAAAATTTATTACTAGAAATTGAAAAGACATACTTGATTCAGATTGAATATTTTTAGTTAAGAGAACTACATTTTTCAACAAATATCCTAGACCATAACAATTTCTTACATTTAGCTAATATGTTGAACTTTATTTGATAAACTATTTAGCACACTGTCACACTTATAAATAGGTCTCCAAAATTATAAAATGATAGAGATCAATATTAACCTTGAATTCATGACAGAAATAGGCCTGTCATTTTAGCATTAAAATTTCACATTTCAGGCGTTAGACATTACCGATGTTTCAGCTACTTTTGATAGCAGCTGATCTCACATTCAACCCTTAATTACTGAGCTCATACAGTGGCAGCACCAGCACTCTACCACCTAGTCAGTAATCATGCAGTTATCATAGTATGAATGCCGATTTTGCAATTGACAGCAACATACAGACTGTAACAAAAGTTTGGAGCGCATCGAATATCTGACGAATCACTGATCAATTTTTTTTTAAAAGTGGTACAGACCATGATGGACATAGTAGAAATGCACATTTTTTGTACGAAATAATGTTATTGGATTAGTCAAGTTTTTCTTTGAATAGAACTCTTAATCACCATAACTGCTGCTACTGGGCAAGGGGAAATCCTCATTGGGTATGGGAACATCATACACAATATCCACAAAATATTAATGTTTGGGCCGGTATCATCGGTCAAAAAATAATCGGCCCGTTTTTTAAGCTTACCCTGAAGGACATACATATCTCCCTCTTGACGTGAATGTACCCGTTTTTTTTGTTATTGATCGTAATAGGAATGCCATGAGATATTTCCTGCCGTGACGTTATCGGTACCGCAAACAGTATGGAAATAGAAAAATGCTGGAATGACCAATGCACGTGTGGAAAAGCTGGAATACAGAGTGGAATATACATTCAAGGGATGATTCTTCTGAAAGTTCTAATTTTTCTTTTTCTCATGAAACTACGAATTTCTCGCAGAATATAAATATCGAATAGAATGTATACATTCCCTAAGAAAGACAAAAGTTGCTATCAGTTTCTGAAAAACTGTAAATTTGGCAACATCGCGGGTATTATCAACGTATCCGACCTCGTTTAGAACCGAAACCTACCAATTTAAAAAAAAATTAGACGAGTCATTCGTCAGATATTTGATGCGTTCAAAACTTTCGTTACAGTCTGTATGTTATGAAACCGAGTTGTAATTTTTCCTTGATGCGGATTTGATTTTCCTCTCCATTGCCTACAGAGACTGCGCTAAAGTCACTGTTTTCATCTCGGCGCTTTGACTGGTTATGTGCAAATCAAACAAAAATTATAAATAAAACATCCGTTTCGGAGTCGGGGCCAAATGGATCATGGCTACGACGGCATGTTTTCTGTTGTCCTACAATTCGGGCGACAGAGAGTGAAATTAGCTTAAATCGAAAATATGATAGAGAGCGAATGTCGCGTCTATGTAAATGACCACCCAGCGTTTGATTTTAAGGTTATATGACGTCAGATGAGGTAACGTTGCTTTTTATATCCATTACATGGAACAGATAAAATCCATGATCATGATAATAAAAAGCACCATTGGCGTATCATGTTGCGTTGGTATAGACAAATTTTAGTGTTTACTATCCACTTCAAGGTTGATTCTCACTATACATTCCGTTTCCATTCCGTAAATTATTGAAATTAAATATTCGCCTTCGCTTAAAGCAAGCTATTGCGTGTGTATGCACATTATCTGTAAGGTATAGTGTGTATACAATCACATTGTACGGAACGTTTACGAAACTGATATGGAATGGAAACGGAATGTATAGTGAGAATCAACCTTCATATGGCCTTGGTCAGGGTCGCAGAGATACGAATCACATTTACACAACTCAAGCATCGTCGGAAGTGTAGGTGCCTAGGTGCTCCACTCTTGCAACAACACTCAACGTTTGTTTACACCAAAGCAGCCGCGCGGGCAAGGCCTAAATGCCAGGGCACCGCGGCTGCTATGAGTAGTTTGAAAAAACTTTGTTAATTCGATTTTTATACGGCTTAAAAAGAGTAGAACTGGGAAAAGCCCCCTTACGTAGATTGTTCAACAATCTCGATACCCTAGGGACTACGTAGTGGTCGTATTGGCCAGTTGTGGATGTACGAAGTTCGAGACGGTTAGGATGGGAGGATAAAGTCAGGCGGGTAATCTTCTCGGTTGTTTTATTATGGTTTTCCAAATATTATCCTTTAAATGAGATTACAGTCTTTTATAACAAAATAAAAAAGTGTAGCAACATTTCGTCTTCAAATAGAGAACAGTAAGCAAATAATGACGTCACATACTACATTTGTGAAATTATCGCGATGCTTCCTTGGCATTTGTGTGGGATTCTAAACTGTTGTTGAGTGCGATTACATCAGTGAATCATCAAGTGCGAACAGTAACGATTATCCGGCTTTTGAGTAGATATTTCGTTGCAGAAATCACCGCATGCCTCTGTTCTCAGTAATGAATAGCGAATTGTAAATATGCCGGTGTAGAGTATAAATAATTATTTACCAAGAATTTACTACAACAGATCTTACCTACCGGGTAACCTACTTCCAACAATCACGACCGTGTCTCGACGCTTATAAAAATACATGATACTTGCTTTTTTTTGTTCAAAACATGACCGAGTTAGTGCGACGGGCAAAAAATAGTACAGTTGTGATATTTTTAATATCATGTATGCACAAACTCCACAAAATAGCAGAACAGGCTGTTTTTGAAAAAATAAATGGGTGGCGTCAATACATTTTTTATTGTTATTTCTGAATCTACGAACAGGGAACAGGGTAAAG